AACGCGCATGCGATTTATGAACTCGCTTAACCGGAAAAAAGGTGCACGTTAGATTCGAGTAATTACGGTACTTCAATTTTACCTAATCTCTGATCCGTTTTCTCTCTCTTCTATCCGCTCCAATCTAATAATGATCTGATTTATACTTTCCTGCAATGTCGCCATCATTTCTTTAAGCTCAGAATTCCAACCTTGGCCTGGGCCCGCGCAATCGAGAGCGCCCTCTTTTTCGGAGCCGGTGTCTCCTCTTAAGCCACGTTCTCTTTAAGAATCTCCACAGACCTTGGTACCTCAACCAGGCTATCAGCTTTTCTACCCTCACTAGTGCTGTTACCGGACTGTAAACTTTTCTTAAGTTCAGCAATCTCTTTTACAAGCCCTTCAATGGCTGTTTTTAAGCTATGATTTTCTTTCTCCAATAGTGCGATTCTGTCCTTACCCCGATTACAACCCACATGCTCTTGGCTCTGCTTACGTGTTCGGTCAGTGATGGGTCCACCCTTGACCTTGTCAGCCCAGGTGGTCCGCCTTACAGCTGCACTGCCACCTCCACCAATAGACGCAGAGCGGTTCCTTGAGACTGGACTCCCATATGATCGGACCGTCGTCCCGACTTTGAACGGCTCCCAGAGCGCGAGCGTCTCCCAGAGCTTTAGAGACGCTTGCTGCAGCTGCGCCGCCTCGACTGCTTCTTGTTCCGCTGCTAGTTCGCCCTGGCCTGCTCCTGTCGGCGAACACGCACGACGTAACCTGGTATCGTTGACTGCATTATTTATCCGCCGTCAGGTGTCGACCTTCACAAAGCTTGCATCAAGGCTCACAGGTATATCATCCTCTGCAGGATTCCGAGCACCACATCCTCGACATTCAAGGTAATCGGGCGCAGGACAGACATCTGCCCGGTGTCCAAGCTTCCCACACACGTAGCATACGTCGACTTGCTTGCGGTACAAGTAACAACGGACCAAAGTTGGCCCATACCTTACAAACTTGGGGACTCCTAAGCCGTCGAACACAATAACTACCGAGCCGGTATTCTTGATTCTTTCGACGGCCAGAGCCAGTGGATTGCCATCGTTAACGATGTTCCGCTCAAGTGCAGCAGGTCCATCCATAATGTCCACATGGCGAATGACCCCTTTACACGTAGCCTGAGTGTGGGGCAGTCTCGTATACACTGACTTGAAAATCTTTGTCCGCCACTCTTACTGACCTGATCGACATAGCGTTCGGCGTTGCTCCTTTCTGGCGTACTAGCCACCAAGATATTTTGTCTGAAGTTGGGGGGCAAATAACGTCTTCTTCAATCTGCTCAGTAGTGAGGCCTGCCGCCTCGACGATAGCCTTGCCAAAAGTTGTAGAACCGACTTTCTCCGAATTCCAACCACCCCGTGGGCGAATCACTGTCTTGATGTGCTCTTCCGGCATCGGTGGCATTCGCGACGCCTTCGGAATGCGTTGCTTAATTGCGAAGCCTCTGCGCCGTCCATCTGGGCCCCGTCGTTCAGACAGCTCGCCTTGTGAACCGCCATCGCCTGGTGCAGGCTTCGACGGTGGCCTTGATTTTCGGTTGGACACCGTCCGCCGTCCTAGACCTTCAGTAAGTTCCTCTGCCAACAGCACGTCTCCTTCTACTTGCATAGCTGCCATGCAAGACGCGCGCGTCCCGCCACGTAGGGTTGCCAGACGCTGTGCCTATAGCGCTTGGCCAACGCGGCGGCAGCACAAAAGTTGAGATAATGTCCAGAAAAGCAGTGGCCCACCTCAAAGTTCGATATCTGCCGAATCCTGTCTTCTTCGCGGATCGGACGATCTCAAATATGCACCACACAGGGACAAAAATGTTGCAGAAACATTCGCGAAAGACGGAGCCGAAGTGGACGCGTCCGCTCACCTCGGCGACCACAGCGTCTCTCCGGCGTAGCGGTTACTCGGCTGGATTTAACTGCATATATTGGGACCTCCGTGAAAAGCAGCTCGCTTTGGAGAAAAAAAATGGAAGGAGCGAGTGTAGCAACTGGGCCGGGCATCGGGCACTGATTGTTCCGCCATCCACGGGACGGCTCTCAGCTCTCCCATAGTAGAGTACTACGTACTCTAAATCGTTAACCACTTTTTCTAAACACAACAACTGGGCCGGTGCGAGGTTCCTTGCCTGCTGCCAGCGCCGATTGCACTGTGCCGTGAGTCGACCGAGAGACCATGCCTATCAGCAGCTTCCTTGACCTGCTGGATCACCCAGAGCTGATTATCCCCGAGCTCTGAACAGCGTGGTCCGCCAAGGCATCCAAAGGTCCTCGTTAGAGACCCGCGCGTCTCTAATTTTGCCAAGTAGCGATATCCGCTATTGCAGCCCTATTACTTCAATATTTGCAGCAGCCTGCCGTATACGATTAATCGGCCTGAATGTTTTTCATAATTATGGGATAAGTGTAGGAACCTAATTGTAGTTTCTGCCCTTGAACGGACTGGGACCGTCTGCCAGTTTGGGGTGAGGCGGGAAGCCTATTCCCTTGGTTGAAGTTTATAGTGTTGTGTTAATAAAACAAAAGCCGTACTTTTTAGACAAAAAAAAAATCGAAACATTGACACTTCAACGAGTTTAACATCTTAATAACTCTGTTCTGGCAATTGTACCCTCCTTTAAATGCCTTGGTGTCATATTTGAGTAGCATTTATCATGGAATGATCACGTGCAAATGGTGGTGGGTAAGCGCTTTCAGGTAACTGGAATACTGTGCAAGTTACGTTTTTTTTTTTTACAGAAAAAGTTAAAGTTATATTGTATAAATCTCTGTTTCTATCATACATAAACTACTGGCATCTGGTCTGGGGCACTACAACACTCACTAACATTAATTCCCTCATTAGAGTGCAGAAAAAAGCTGTGCGTTGTATTCCAAACGTTCCTTACTTCACGCCAACGAGTCCTCTTTCCAAAAAATTGAATCCAATACCTATGCCTAACATTTATGAAAATATATTAATAAGAAGTTATAAGAACAGTATTAGAAAAAAAAAACAATGACACGTACCCCAAAACGTATTTTCAATTTAACGCCAAAACAGGAGCTCCGAAATATAGGAACTACTGAGGTACAGAACAAATTATGCCTACCAGATGTTACGGTACAAACTTCTATACCATTTAAGCACAAATAACGTCATGTAGCATTCCATGTGATTGTGTGACGAAAGAGTGATAAGCTGTCTCTGCAAATATCTATGTGGTAGTGCCCATAATGCGGTATACATTTTTGTATAAAAAAATCAGTTTCTACTTTTTTTATGTAGTCTGTTCATCAGCTTTTGTATTGTCACTAGAATGAAATTTTGCTTTGCTTACTTTTGAGCTTTTCAGTATGTATAATGGCGGATAAAATTTATAGGTTTGTATATTGTATATTATGAGTTGTGTCATTAGCTTATAATTTATAATTTCTGTTTCAGTATTGAACTGCTGTTCTCATTTGTTGTTTGTTTCTGCCTGGAAAATTGGGGTCATGAACCTGGTCTTGCTGGCTTTTCGTTCACGGTCCTCAACAATGTACAAACGTTGAAATAAAATTTGATTTGATTTGATAGTATAAATCCGCCCAATCCCACTCCTCCGGGATAAAAAAAATCTTCCCCTCTATTTCTTGACTGGCCATCGATACATAAATTACTCTACATCATCGAGTTCGTGTTCAAATTTATCCGTACTTCTCATTCCGCACTGCGCAACACAGCAACATCGGTGCTGTGGCCGCACGCACGGAACCCGAGCAATATGGTAACAAGCACGAAGTTCTTTCGCTACCACGCTACATTTATTTAAGAACTTTTTTGTACAGCTTAGATGTGTTCGAGACGTAGATGTGTTCGTAGAGCCAACTCACATGTTTCTAAATTGCATTTGAATTGCGAATTATTTCCTGAATTACGCAAATCAGAGTTACTCAACTTATGTTTGTACTCATCTATTGGCAGTATTTGCAATTTCGTTACATTACTACTTCGTTCATCTTTAACTGGACGACATTTAATCAAATAATCAAGAATTTCTTCTGAAAACTACCCGGTTCTTGGCCAATCTCCCAGCGTGGGGTTTGTGCCACTATACAAGGCTCTACTGTTCTACTCTTCTCTACTCTACCTTTAGTGCATGGAGTAGCAACTATTCCAATATTCCGCCCACCATGGCATGAAACGTGGCTGCGGAACCCAGTTGTCTCGCCACTGTCGTTCTCTCCTCGACGCGTTGTCCTCGAGATCACCGTTTCTAAACAGCGCTGCGCTGCTCGTTCGCGCTCTTTCTGTTCTTGTTCGCTCTGCCAAAGCCGTCCAACGAAAAAACGGGCGCCTAAAAAGGCCTGAACACATGTACGCGTTGCAGCGCCCGTGGCCTGTAGACTCGGCGCCGCGCGCACGGGCAAGAAAAAGTGAGTTGACCTGCGAGGATTGGCATTTATTGGTCGAAAGGACACTGTACTTGTGCGGAACACTCTAGCCAACCTCTTAGATGTTGCATCTTGTTTACCGGGCACAATCGTGTTTTTGCATTTTGCCTTCTGGGCACAAGTTGGCCCACAATAAACAAACTTTAGAGCGGTAAAACTCCAGCATTTATCCCAAAACTATAGTTGTGATAGTATAATCGATGGGGTTTTACGTACCAAAACCATTATGAGGCTCGGGAAATTTCGATCAAACGATAGCACACGATAGTGCCAGCGGCGGAACCATTTCTCCTCCATCAAAATGATGCCCGCCACCGGGATGCGATCCTGCGACCTTCGGGCACTTCGGATCAGCAGTCTAGTCTAGACCCCACGGAAAAAAAAAAGAGGGGGGGGGAGGTCTTTATCGCCGCAGATTGGTCAGATCAACGCCTCCTCTATTCAATAAAGGAGGCGTTGGTAAGATTGGTAACTCCACCGCAGAAAGCCAGAGTGGAAAGCGCGTGGAAAATTTTGGCGTCGCACTGGTCGCGTCTCACAACCATGGCAATGGCGGCGCCCGGTCGATTTTGTGCAAACGCTATTGGTACTAACGGAGCGATCGCGTTGTAGTTCGTATTGGTGTTAAATTACTTTTGAAATAAAACCATAATCACTACAAGGGACACCCACGGATCACAGAATGGATGCCGAAGTGTGCCCATCGTGCGGCGCTTCTGCGGTGGCCGACGAAAGCGGAGACGGAGTGAGTGGTTCTTATTGTGGTTTGGGGACGTCAAACTCCACGTATCAGTCGATCAATCAAGTGATTTTCTGGATCTCCTGACAGCATTTAGTGCCTGCTTAGCTACTATCACGTTCTCGAAGAGCAAACGATTATGCGGAAATTGCAACCCTCGCGCTTCACTGTAATACCACCGCGCAGGGTTGTCCCGATCGTTTCAGGTTACATATTTTCATGGAGAAATGAATAAACTTTCCTTCCTCCATGCATGTTTTGCCCTAGCGAATGCCGCGTTTCTCAAGTGCGTCTTGTGATTTCGTGGCCGATCGTTGCACAGGCTCGTCGCTTTAAGGTTAGGAAAAGAGCCTCGCTTTACCGTTGTTTCATGTGCTTTTTTGACCCACTAGAGCGGATCGCTTGAAGACTAGACAAAAGAAAGAAAGAAAAAACACACACGAAAAGCTTGCTTACCGGCTAAAGTTTGCTCGGATCCTTCGCACCGGTTTCGTTCTAGTCGCTACCGCCAAGAACTGGCGACGCGACCCGTACAGGGACATCACTTTACACAGAACAACACATCACTACCACATAGGCGCCCACAGGGCGCGCTTGGCGGGTACCAGAGATAGATATATATGGACTGGTGGGTACGATAATCTCAACTGGGGGGGGGGGGGGGGGGGATCAGTATCGTGTGAGGAAAAGAGATAGAGTTGACGTGTTTGCATGCCAGCAGTGATTCATTGTCCGCCTTGTGGGGTAAAGAATGGATAACCCGACTTAAAAGAGTTAATCAGTCTCCAGTTCTCTGTGAAACGCGTTCTTGCGGGTGCACCAGGCTTTCTGCCGGTCGTAGTTTGTTAAAAAAAAAAAAGCTAGGAGTTGAACGCGTGGCTATCTCAGCTCGCCGTGCTTGTATGACCTAGATATTGATATCGGCTCATTCTAGATGGCTTTCAAGGCTCTTAACACAACTGCCCGACCGATATCGGTAATAGAAAAGAGCATTCGACTTTGTTTAAGTGACTAAGTTGTTTTGGCGACAGTCGGCGAAGAGATTTCCTCTTGCATTAATCTTATTTGGCGTTGCGGGGTGTTCGTACCCATTTCTTTTACTTTCACTTTAATTGAATTACGTTTTATTTCTTCATTTGCATTTTTTTATATCGTGCGGCTTGAAACTATCTTCACCTGTTTGGTGAAGAAGTTCTTAGGTCGCTTGATCTGTGATACAGGGCCGCTATAGTGCTTCATTATCTTTATTTTTTAACAGTACAGTGTTTAATTGGAAACAAAACAACAGGGTTGTATGGAACACTGTTGCATGGGGGCTGCAGGCGAGATGCTCATATTTGTTTGCTTTGTAGCGAAGACAGAAAAAAAAAAGCAATTGTACAAGCAAGGATACAATGTGAAACACTAATAGAACAAAAATATTGTCAAATGAGGGACATTCATGTTGCGAAATGCATCATGGAGAGAAAACAATATTCTTTCAATATTCATTTTAATAGCCAGAGTTCAATTTTTATGTAGCTTGGAAGTTTTACAGGTAGAATGCATAAACTTTGTGGGGGTACAGGCCATTCACTCGAAGAGCCCGGCTCTCTCCATTTCGAGACCCCACAACTTTCGCTGCGTATTTTCAAGCTGAATTAATACATGAGGAGATACCACAAGCACACTAGCTGGCAGCGCAGAAAGCTTTAATATCTTCTGTTCACCAAATGCCATCTGTTCTGTATACTCACAGGATGTGGGACAAGACGATTTTGAAAATAGGATTATTACCGACAATTCAGGTTCAGAAAATTCGCAAACAAGGTGCAATATCTCTGACAGCTCTTTTCATGTTTTACAAGAACAACTAGAACAACTAAATTCACATGAGGCTGTCATTTGTTTTTTATGGGAGTGCTTTTTCTTTAATTCACACATATTCCCACTTTGTCTGGAGGTGTTACAGCAGGGGTGGTTACTATACTAAAGAAAATTTTCGTTGCTTGACACAACACACTTGCTCAGACTATTCCACTGATTAATAGTTTTCACACAAATGAATTTGCGTGCAGGTTTGTCCTGATCTGGCATGTCCTTAGTTTGTGTTTGTGTTCTATGCGTTCAGCTAGATAATCTGGCTTTTAAGGGGCGAAGCATCGTAGGGTCTAGGCTTAATCGTTGTGTGTTATTCATGCTCATGATGACGATGCATGGTACCCACTATACGCCATGACAATGATGATGAAAAGATAAGCACGTTTTAAACCACACGGTCTCTTGCTGCCATGAATAGAAATGAACATGAATGCGCTCTAGCCAGGAAAGGCAACGCTGACGCAGGCAATACTCGACGACGATAAAGAATAAGCGTCTTCCAGAAATTCAGATTGTGTGATCTGCCCGATTCTTGGCCGATCCCTCTGAGTGGGCAGGTGTCAATCATCCAAGGAGCGTTATTATCATCGTTAACACCATACATTCTCTTTCTGCCATGGATGAAAACGATTGTAGATGCGCTGTCACCCGAGAAAAGAAACGCCGTCGCAGACAATATACAACGGAGGCGAGAGCTCGCAAAGTAGCGGCAACACAGACAACAAGCTGCCACTATCAAGGCGACATCGCAGCATACAGTGGTTCAGCCTCTACGCAGACAGCAAGCTACCCTGGAGGCTAGAGTTCTGGAAACTGTGGCAAAACAGCAACGCCTGCAGCAAGCCTATACCTCGGAGTTGAGGGCATGGGAAGCAGCGGCTCAATGGCAAAAACACATTGGGGATACTGTATACATGCGTTGTCACTCATTTACATGCATGAGTGGGCAGTGTCACGGGTTATTTGTGGCAAGAATGATCCCCAGCGCTTCGCTCACTCGTCACGCTTCAATTTTTTGAGATGTGTGGATTTTTTAAAAGTAAGTGTCGCTATCGGTTTCTATTTTCTTTAAAAATAAATATCTGATATAAATGCTTCTAGCTCTGCCAGCCTGCCTCGACGTAGACAACTCCGTGTTGAGACGTCAGGGTTAAGCGATATTTCATGTTCCACTATTGGTCTCATAATCGTGGGCTTCTTGGCGATGAGTTGCTTTCATTATGGAAGTCCGACCTTTCATGGAGATCACTTGCCCTTTCTCATTGCCACACATCATTGTTTCCTGGATGTAAACGCATGACCGTCGTTGTTACCTGTGGAAATTGAAGTGTCGTGCTGGTACGCACGTGGATGATGGTCCAATTTTCGGCAAAGAGGAAGGAAGCAGTTAGGATGGAACATGCATGATGCAATAAAAAGAAAAAAAAGGTCAGGCACGTGTCAAGCTTTGCTTACCCTTACCCCGTTAGAGGAAGGGCTTCTGAATCTTTTTTTAATGTATTGCTATATGTTAATATCATTAGTGATAACGGTAACTGCACATCATTGAATCTTAGGACGCTAACATTGTTGTTTTAGCACTACAAAAGACATACACACACGAGAGATCGATGACAGGCAGGCGCTATTAACAACTGACTTATTGCACAGGCACTATTAACAACTGACTTATTGCAAAGTCTTGACAAGGCAAGATTTTAGGTATAAGCATAAAAAAATCAATTTGTGAAGTGTGGGAGGCGTATAAAAGAAAAAAAAACGAAGCAACTGTGTTAGTAATGCGTCTATATGCTTGTACAAAAATGGCATGAGGTTTTCGGATACCAATACGCCTGTAGGCTGATAAGTGGTGTCGTTGTGATGAGTGCTCGCTGCGTCTGCGCACCATTGTGCTCATATTTAATTGCAACCTTTTCAATACATAAGTAGTGCCTGCCTGTCGTGTGCCTCTAGCATACGTGTGTCTTTCGAGCGCTACAATCGCCATGTTATGTAATCACGAACTCGCCCAACAAGAAGTTCTTATCAGCATACTAAGGTTGTTGTTTCAGTAAATCAGGTGAACTGAGTGATTGTTTTCCAGTTCTCTCGAGTGTGCACTGCCTGCGGAGTCGTCTTGGACGCTGCCCCGCTGCAAGCGACGGGTTTCACGGGTGACGACGATGGACTCTGTTTTGTGTCTTCAACAAGCAGGGACACAATGTCCCTTCAAAGAGACAAGAGGGGCGAAGCACGCATGCAGCGCCTGCTCGGAAGCGGGGTGTCCGGGAGCCGGCGCCTCTGCCACGACTGGATCAAGCAGGTCGGCGTTAAGGTCAACATGGACTCTGTGATGGTCCAGCAGGCCTGTGATATCTTGGACAGACACTTGACCAGAAAGCCGTTGAACCAACAGATGGCCATCGCTGCTGCCAGCTGTTACGAGGTGGGATAACGCAATGCGCTGGCGGGCTAGTTCGTTGAGACCCACGGTGCTTTTCGAGCGCAAAACGTGTAGTGCACACGTATCCCGAAAGAGTACGGCCACTAGCGTGGGTCCGGTCCTTGCGAGTCACAGGGCAGGTGTTAACCGTCGCCGTGGCGGGAACACGGTACTGCACAAGATAGACGACAGGACAAAGCGCTATCCATGTACTACGAGCGGTTGGCCCTGTCGTCTATCCCATGTTCTCATTCTGTGCTAAAAAAAAAAACACACACACACACAGTGAAGGTGGTGTGTGGCTGAGGTCGCATTTGGAGCATAGACTTTCATATCGGCATAGATTTTCACAATAGTACACTAGAGAAAAATATGGCAGTATTTGAATTGTAAAAATATGGCAGTATTTGGATTTGCCCAAGCTTCATTCTCGTGGCTCCGTATGGCCCAGTGAGGCCTGCAATTACCTTGTCAGAATATGAAGTTCAGCAACATCTCAGCGGTCTTTCTTTGACAACTTGGCTTCTTGAGGCTCACCAATTAAAATCAACGCGAAAGGCTTACGATGAGCCATTCTGTTATACAATACAAAAGCTAAAACAAAGCCGCAAGTGCATTTGAAGCCGCAAGCATGAAGACTACGCTAATTTTATGTGCTACTCATCATTCTCGCATTGGCTGGACGATCTCATCGCCGCAGTTCCCTCTAGTACTGTAGGTAACAGTTTGGTTTGGAGCACTTGGAACCTGCTGTTTTGTACTTGGTGTCACTCTCGTCGTTCATGATTATGACCAGCAGATCTCATTGACAACCCTTTGCAACACTTATTATTAATGATTGTCTATAAATACATGAACTTTACATGATATGATGTCAAGGTTCTCAAGATGACATTTAAATATAGTAAAAATAGTAGAAGAAATTGTAGTGCATTCTGTAGAAATTGATTGTGATTACAAGGTAAATGGTAATCGAAATATACAGCCATTTGTGCTTCATTTTTAAATAAAAATAATTTAATGACCCACTCAAATTATACATGATAGTTATCTGCTGGCAGAGAGCACCCCTAAAAGAAAGTAAAAAGACACTGTGAAATGCTGCCGAATTAAACGTGGTATTGCCTTCACCGAAGTGATATGCTTTTTTATTTTTTGAACAAGAACTGGTATTAAGGAACCTTAGGCAAAAAAAAAAGCTTAATTTAGCATTCCTTCAGTGTTTGTGGTCTCACCCTTGGCAGCAGTGCACAGAAATAGTAAAAGTAAGTCGTTTGTCAAAATGAGGACGCCGTGCCACTAAGGGATGGGCTGGTTTGTGGAAATTAGTGGGGCAGTTCAGGTCACTGAAGCTGGCCAGCACCATTGCTCTGGACTTCACAAATGAAGAAGGATTCAGTAAAACTGTCCTGTCAGCATCACTTTTCTGAGTCAAACCTCACTATAATGAAGTTGCATCTCACACAAAAATAAGTTCATTATATCCGAAAATTCGTTATAAATATATATCCCTAACACTTTGTCTATTTCAAGAGTATCCTTCATTTACTTTGTTATATTTGATAGTCTGTTACATCCATGCTTTTCATATCCAGGTTTGAGTATAGTGGAATTCTCTCCCTTTTAGTGCACAATGTTTTCCAAGCTACATGCTGGAAAAATTTCTAGAATCTGCCAAGTGCGAGCGTAGTTATGGAGACTTGTCACACACATTTTTGTACGAGCGTGTGCACTGACAACTTCGCGGGAAGGGGTTGCTGAGGAAGTAAGACTATGCGTCCCTTCGTGAGCACCCATTGTGACCTTAAGCACTCTCTCTCTTTTTTTTTTTTTCAAACTAAAATGCATGTATTACTTCCAGTGTGATCATGAGTGCACACGTGTGTAGGTGCACGTGGCGGCATCTTGCTGTGGCTTCTGTAACTACACAGCTCACGTTGGTCAAGTCATTCAATGGCCGTATGTGTTGGGTGTGTGTAGCAGTAATTTGGGCATGTGGTGTGATTTGCAGAGAGAAGAGGGAGCGATTTCTAGCCGACTTTGAAAGTTAAATGTGAATTGCTAAAAGCGTGGTGCCCGGTAACGTTTGGCTCGCGTGTTCTCGGGAGCCTCAACCACCAAAATGCAACGTTTCCTGACCACGCCAAAAAAATCTTCCAGGGCCCCCCTTTGTGCTTACTGCAGGAGACAGGCAGTGTGTTCATGAATGACCTTCCAGAAAAGGAGCACGTTCGCGGCACGTCTCCTAACTTTGCTCCGTGCAATGCAGGTGCTTCAGAACAATGGTCGATCCATATCGCTTCCCGCCTTGGCCAAGATGGCCCAGTGTACAGGCTCACACCTGTTCCAAGCCATTCGTGCGATCAGTGAGGTGAGAACATCTTCCGGTCAGCCATGCTGCCTCTTATAGCTCCAGTGTCGTTGATGTGACTGCGATAAAGATAATAGGCCGTGTAGCAGTTCGTGTGACAGTTGTAAGAGCCTGGAGGACCAGACTCGTAATTAAACGCTGTGTACTGCCACGAGACAAGACACAGTAAAAGTTCGACTCGCTGTACTTAAAAGAAAGTTCAGTGAAATCCCATGAGAAGAGCACAAACAGGAAGAAGTCTGCCATGTCGAGCAGACTTTAGGACTGCAATGGCCTTGATGTGAGCCCGGCAGACTTCTTGTTCCCAAAACTGAAAAGAAGCCAAAAAGGCCACCATTTAATCTGGCTGTCACAGTCTATGAGAGAAATCATGGCATCATACTTTCAGGGAGCTTTTTTAGAGTACGAATTGCATTGTACTCAGAGTATTGATGCCCAAGAAACCTGTTCAAGAGAATATTGTTTCGAGTAACTTGTTTAATGATCTATTTACAGCGCACAGAACTCGACGAGCAAAATGGCGCCAGGCCAGCATCTAACGAAAACTGACTTCGTCCTCCTCTTTCATGCAGCCGTGTTTAGCGGCTGTTTTGTATCATAACCTCCGGCGGTAGAAGCACCGTCCCGGTGCTAAATTTACACAGATGATGTCGAAGGGGGGTAATAGGGCTTTAACCGAGCCACGTGAACGGTGTCGCTCGGAGCTGACGATGACTTTGTTGGATCGGTTGGAACAATCTCGTACGTGACGTCTGTCACTTGGCGAACGATACGGAATGGTCCAGTGTAGGGCGACAACAGTTTTCCAGACAGTCCCACACGCCGAGTAGGTGACCAGAGGAGCACGAGAGAACCCGGAGAAAAGTGCACGTCCCTATGGTGAGAATTGTAGAGCTGTTGTTGGCGCGCCTGTGAAGCCTGTAGACGGTTACGGGCGACTTGGCGCGCGTGGTCGGTACGGGCAATGGCTTCCCCAGCATATTCAGTGGCTGCAGGTAGTAACGTGTCTAAAGGTAAAGTTGGGTCCCAGCCATATAGTAGATAGAAGGGTGAATATCCGGCAGTGTTGTGACGAGATGAATTGTAGGCGAACGTCACATACGGCAAATGAATGTCCCAAACATGGTGGTCTGGCGCAACATATTTGGCAAGCATATAGGTTAGGGTCCTGTTAAGGTGCTCCGTGAGGCCATTTGACTGGGGATGGTACAAAGTAGTAAATTTGTGCTTGGTATGGCAAGACCTCAGGATTTCATGAACGACAGCTGATGAGAACGTGCGGCCACGGTTGGTGAGATGTTGACGGGGAGCACCGTGCACTAATATTATGTCGTACAGCAGAAAGTCTGCAGCGTCGGCAGCGCAGCTGGTCGGGAGTGCTCGTGTGATTGCGTACCGGGTCGCGTAGTCTGTGGCAACAGCAATCCATTTATTTCCGGCTGTGGAGAGTGGAAAAGGGCCCAACAGGTCGAGACCAACTCGAAAGAAAGGCTCGTTGGGAACGTCAATCGGCTGAAGGTAGCCGGCTGGGAGGGCAGACGGCGTTTCGCGACGCTGACAGGGCTCACAAGCGGGGACATAGCGTCGAACAGAGCGGGCAAGTCCAGGCCAAAAAAACCGACGTCGTACCCGATCGTCCGTGCGAGAAACGCCCAAATGGCCCGTCATGGGAGCGTCATGAAGTTGATGCAGGACAGTGGAACGCAGGTGCGCTGGGATGACAGGAAGTAAGTCTGATCCGAAGGAATCAAGGATTCGGCGATATAGGATCCCGTCTTTCACCGAAAACATTCGTAGGGACGGGTCGTGAGGCGTTGACTCCAGATTGTCAATGATGGCTCGTAAAGAAGCATCGCGACGTTGCTCTTCGCCAATGTTTAACAGCTGCGACACGGAAAAAACGTCCGTGATTGCGTCGATATCGGTTGCTTCGTCAACAGGGTAGCGGGATAAACAATCCGCATCCTGATGTAATCGCCCTGTTTTGTACATTACAGAGAACGTGTACTCTTGAAGGCCTAGAGCCCAATGAGCGAGACGTCCGGCGGGGTCCTTCAGGGAGGCTAGCCAGCAGAGCGCGTGATGATCCGTGACAACACGGAATGAGCGCCCGTACAGGTATGGGCGAAACTTGGCGACTGCCCATACAAGGGCGAGGCACTTGCGCTCCGTGATGGAATAGTTGCGCTCGGCTGGAGATAGCAGTCGACTTGCATAGGCTATAACAGGGTTGTGTCCGCGTTGTTGCTGCAATAGCACAGCTCCTATGCTGTGTCCACTGGCGTCCGTGTGAATCTCGGTTGGGGCTAATGGATCAAAGTGAGCCAAGATTGGTGGCGTTGTAAGCAGTGTCGTAAGTTGTGAAAACGATGACGCTTGGTCATGGCCCCAGGTAAACGGGGTGTCCTTCAGGAGGTTTGTGAGTGGGCGTGCAATGGTCGCAAAGTCCTTAACAAAGCGTCTGAAATATGAGCACAACCCCACAAAACTGCGGACACCTTTGGGGTCTTCGGAACAGGAAAGTTCGTGACTGCGCGAATTTTCTCTGGGTCTGGACACACGCCTTGGGCATCGACAAGGTGACCGAGCACTGAAATTTGACGACGAGCGAAGCGGCACTTGGAGGCGTTAAGCTGGAGTCCGGCTTGACGAAAAATGTCCAGAATAGCTGACAAACTATCAGGATGCGAGTCGAATGTGGGCAAAAAGACAATAAAATAACATCGTCAAGGTAACACAAGCAGGTGGACCATTTCAACTCTTGAAGCAATGAGTCCATCATTCTTTCAAATGTAGCTGGTGCATTGCAGAGTCCAAAGGGCATTACCTTAAACTGGTAAAGACCATCAGGAGTGATGAATGCCGTCTTCTCGCGGTCCATCTCGTCGACGGCTATCTGCCAGTACCCTGACCGAAGGTCAATAGTTGAAAAATAAGTGGCACCGTACAGGCAGTCGAGGGCGTCGTCGATGCGAGGTAAAGGATAAACGTCTTTTTTGGTAATTTTGTTAAGGTGACGGTAATCGACACAAAAACGTCATGTTCCATCTTTCTTTTTAACAAGGACGACTGGAGAAGCCCAGGGGCTGCATGAAGGCTCGGTAATGTTTTTCGCAAGCATTTTGCCGACTTCATGTTGTAATATTGCACGCTCCGATGCAGACACTTGGTAGGGGCGTCGGTAAATGGGGGTTGCATGGCCAGTATTTATGCGATGGGTGACAATGGTCGTTTGGTCTAAAGAGTTGCTGGCAAAGTCGAAAATGCTACGATAGCCCTCAAGAACGTGGCAAAGCGCTGCAGCTTGCTCAGACGTGAGGTCCGATGACACCATTCGCTCGATGTCGGCGCCCCCAGAACGTGATGGAATGGAACCACTGACTGAGCTGCAGCAATCGTCAACTCTGAAGGGCTCGACATGGTCATCTTGGAGAGCAGTAATTTTGGCCAGGGAGATACCCTGTGGCAGAACTTGGGTGGTGAGTGAAAAGTTGACCAGTGGAAGGAAGGTGCGGTTTCTCTTAATCGTCAGAATCATATGTGGCACAGCAACCCCATGCGTAAGCAGCCACCATGTAATCACCATCAGGTACTGGCGGCCTGGAGGATAAGTCGACATGTGTGACAGAGTTAGGAGGGAGGCGCGTGAAATCAATGCAGCAGAGGCTGGTTTGCGGTGGGCTAGGCGGGTCGGAAAAGAGGGGTAAATCGAGATGGAGAGAGCCAGCTGAACAGTCTATGAGGGCAGAGTGCGTGGCTAGAAAATCCATACCGAGAATGAGTTCATGAGGGTAATGTTCGATAACGGCGAAAAGAACGACAGTGCTTCTCTCCCCAATAGACACTCGCGCAGAGCACATGCCAAGAATTGCGGCAGTTCCTCCGTCGGCGACTCGTACAGCTCGGTTGAGGGCGGGCGTGACAACTTTTCAAAGTCGGCAGCGAAGGTTAGCACTCATAATGGACACATGCGCGCCAGTATCTATCAATGCACTGACACGAACATTGTCGACAGTAACGTCCAAAAGGTTCCGGTTCGTTGTTAACGTTAATTGAGGATTTCTTACGAAGGTCGTCAACGCAGCTCCACCTCCAGAAGCTGCACGGCCTAGTTTTCCGATTGGAGATGCTGCGAATAGGTCGGGGAGGCAGCACGGCATTGTGGGGGCGACTGGGACTGACGACGAGCAGGGGACGGTGACCGGTCGTAGCGAGGTCTGCTCAGAGGTGCTGTAGGAGCGGAAAATGCGGTCGGCGTTGATGGAGAAAGTGATGGGGACAACTGGCGAGCAGAAGTGGTGTGATACTGAGGTGCATAATGGGACAGTGGAGCCCAGCGGCTGCGGCAGTGACGTGCGATATGACCAACGCGTCGACAGTTGAAACATATGGGCCTGTCATCAAAGGTACGCCATTCGGACGGATTGCGTTGTATGTGAGGAGCAGAAGGGGGACGAAAAGAAGGCGCAGCAGAGTATACAGCAGGAACAGGATGTAGGCCGGCATTCGATAGCTCTTGACGAACGACGGCTTGTATCAAAGAAATCGTGGTCGGGGAAAGCTTGTTCGAGACGTCGGCATTCTTTAAGGATGGTGTCGATGCTCGAGACGTTGTTAAAAACCAGCAGGTTGAAAGCATCGTCGGCAATGCCTGTCAAGACGTGGTTAACCTTTTCATCTTCCGACATGGACTGGTCGGCCTTGAAACAAAGGGCCAAAACGTCAAGAATGTAGGATACGTACGATTCGGTAGAAGACTGGGCCCGTGTGGCAAGAGTCTTCTTCGCAACGAGCTGACGACCAGATGAATTGCCAAACAGGTCACGTATCTTTTCTTTAAAGAGATCCCAGCTCGTTGTGTCGGCTTCGTGGTTTTCAAACCATGTTCGGGGAGTGCCGTCCAGGTAGAAAAGCACGTTGGCGAGCATGAGCGTGGGATCCCAGCGGTGAGTTGCACTGACGCGCTCGTACCGCTTCAGCCAAGTGTCGAGATCGATCGTACCATCACCGGAGAAAGTGCTGGGATCCCGGAGGTGCGGGAGTGTGACGTAGGTGGTGGTTTGGACTGATGAGGGCGGCGTAGAGGAAGTACCAGCAGTCGAAGCAGTCAAAAGGTCGCCGATGGTGCGACCGCTGCGCGTCTCCATCGAGGTACGGGGGTCGTCCACCTCCACCAATAATGTTACGAGTAACTTGTTTAATGATCTATTTACAGCGCACACAACTCGGGAGCAAGATGACGCCAGACCAGCATCCAACGAAAACTGACTTCGTCCTCCTCTTTCATGCAGCCGTGTTTAGCGGCTGTTTTGTATCAATATAAATGATGTGTACCGATCACATCAATGATTTCTCCTTACCAGGCCCAGTCTCGTTACTTTACGCACAGACCCTATAGATATTTTTTTGAATCTGCTAGGTTGTATAGCTCTCTTAACTGTTAGTGTTGACTAGAAGTAAGAAGGTTGTGGAACGCATTATGCGACTGTTTACACGCAGAGCATGGGCAAGGGAACAAGGCCAGTGATGCTTGAGGATCTGCTGCCTGAAGCGGCACAGTCGATCGACCCCTCCGAACGGTCGCAGGTGTTGTCGCGCGCCACTGCCCTGTTGGAGCCGCTCAGGCGCTGCTGGTTCCTGGAGGGGCGAGCGCCGCGTTGCATTGGGCCTGTGCTCATCTTCGTCGCCTGGAAGTCACTCAATCTCCCACAGCGGAACATTTCGTTGGCGAGCTTCTGCGAAATGCACGGCTTGGGCAAGCCCAACAGCTCTGTCCTAGCTGCGAACGCCGACCTGAACAAGGCAAGTCGTGGAGATGGGTACAGTGCTGCCCGGGGTACTGTTGGATATTGCAAGAAGTGGCAAATCGGATAAGCGCACAGACTGTATGGGTAGTTTACCCACTGTAGAAGGTTCAACTTAAGTGAGGACCTTTGGTCATTAAAAGTAACTGACTGAATTTCAAGAAAAGGCAAGTGTGCTATAAAAGGCAGTAAGTGAGGTAGGTAGATGAGATTGAGAAGTTTGGGGGGGATAGGGGGGATAACTGGAACGCAGCAAGCACAGGACTGAGTTTTTTGGCAAAACATGGTGCTGCAGGACTTTGCCCCGCAGTTGGAGTAGCCAGGCTGATTTCATTTCGTCATGGCCTTGGTACAAATTATGTAAATCTCACGCAATCACAGACAGTAATCGTAATGTGTGTTGCAAAGGGGTTAATATATGAATCGATCTTTTTTTTTCAGGTGCTCATACAGCTGGCCAGTCAGATTCCGTGGGTCAAAGGTCAGAAGCTCACGAGCCGTACGGCGCTGGCGTACGTGCCGGACATAGTTCGCTACTCTGCGTCGTTGGTGGTGGACGCTGCCAGGAGCGCAGTGGGCGCGAAAGTCGTCGAACAAGCGGCGGACCAGAGATCCGCTGCCATCTACGCAACATTTCGGAAGGGGAGGAAAAGATTTAGTACGGTTGATTACTCAGGCAGCTCAGATGTGGCGGACTGCGACGGCAACAGATACATATCCGACTCCGAAATCGACGTCCACATCCGAAGCGAGCGAGAAGTGAATAGTGTGAAGGCGTTTCTGAAATCTCGGAAGCTACAGGAAGAAGAAACAGCGAAGGAAGACTGATTTAGTGGATCGGCGATAAGCATGGATACGATGTACATGGTGATATGGTGTATTTGCAGTAGTAAACTATCACAAAGCATTTATGGTGTGCAAGAAACAAAGAGAATGCTAGTTAGAATTGTTTTCATTACATTTTTCAATCGCATCTTGATGCATTTCTTAAAGCTTGTGGTTCAAACTGAATTAGAAAGTAATTTTAAACAGAATAGCTTGAATAGTGTATGTCACATATTATAAAGAAAAATGAGCATATTTGTCATGACCCAACTAACTTGTACAATAATTTCGAGAATTAGAACAGGGCGTGTATGAATGTTCCATTTGGTTCGAAGTCAAGCGGAAGCAACCTTGTATACTAGTACGGTACAAGTTATAAGTGGTGAAATAGGTTAAATTTTAAAATATTTTATACATGGGGCATATAAAGCCGTATAACACAGTATTTAAAGTTTAAAAATATTAATGAACGTGCACCTTTAAAAGTGTGGCTTTGCGGCAGTGCAGATGTTCGCTGGATAGGGAATGGGATGGCATAGCAGTGCCATGCTGAAATGAAACCACTACTTAAAGGTGGGGGCTCAAATGCAGTCAAATATATGTCTACTCGCTCATTTAGAACATTTCAATTTGTATTCATGTCTGAGCGAATTCAAGCACTAATATTCATTTGAATATTCGCGCTTGCTTACAAACACCTTGGACGTCACAGCAACGAGGTTATTTAAAAACTCAGAACAGCCGATTACCCCCCTTGCGCGTTTGCAAGAAAAAAATGATTTCTAGAAACAAAATGATGGAGGTTTTGATGAGTGTCTCGAAAGGTTGAAATGCGCCTGCAGAACAAACTGGTGACATCGTAGGAGGGAGGGCACATTTACATTAGTGCAAGCGTCCAGAAGTTTCGAGATACAGGAATTGGATAACTCTTCGCAAGCTCCAGCCAGCAAGTGCTGCCACTTTATTGGAGTTACACGCTCAACTTTTCGCAATGCGAGTATGTTTGCATGATTTATTGACGGTTGTTGGCACACTTTGTAATACGAATGGATTTCCAGTTTGCTTGTTTGAATGCTGCCGTCGAGTTTTATGCATTGCAATTTTTCTTACAAGTGACCTTCTACACAACATTGCTGCCGTTACTGCCAACATCACTCGTCTCTGTCTCACATTATTTCTTCAAAGTACATAACATTACCTTTCAGACAATTAACATATGTGATTACCATTGCTATTGTATTACTATTGTAAAAAGGTCACCCCAAGGACCTAGAGCTGATTTTCCCGAAACGTGAAATTCTGTCTGTTAGAAAAGTGTATAATGTATAATCTTAAGCTGAATGCAACATATTCATAGACATAAACTACAAGATTCCTATGCACGCACTCTGTCAATCAAATATTGCTGCAGAAATTTTGCCTGCAAAATCAAGAAAGGACGCACAAACTATGAAAAGCGGGGCATTCAACTGCTAATTATTCACGAATCGAATATAGACTTTACACTTAAAACAAAACCATTAAAATCCCATGGCAAATCATTTCTTCTTTCAACTGATGCCATAGTAGATCCACAGGCATTTACATGCAACAGTACTAGTACACTTAGTTTTTTTGCTGTTTATTTCTCTTGCTATTAACCATGGCACTAAAACAGTTATTTGATTCTAATAATGCTTTCTTTTTAAAACAGAGCATGTGAGAAAGTCACTTCAAAGTGAATTCGTACATATGTTTAGACAATGTGCAAAGCGAATTTGCACATTATCTGACATGTAATGTGTAGAAAGAAGTGCATTTTAAAATTTTGAACATTGTTTTGTGCATGTATGCTGAAAAAAAGCATGATCTGAATGCATTTATCATAATGAATACATATGTAAGAAAAATAGGTGACAGTATTAAGAACAAGCAAGTATCTTGTGCAAATGAAATATGTATAATATGTGCAAAATATGTCACCGATGTTAATATGTGTACGTCACTGATGTGTAAATGTGTATACTATGTCACTTATGCTGACTGTATTATGTAGGAGTAGGCCAAGACCTCGTCACGCTTGTTAGCCTTTAGTCTTTACCTCCTACAGGAAAATTTTGGAGATTTTTTCAGCAAAATAAACCATGCTCAGTTACAGCAAATTCTGTTAAGCCATCACAAAAGCGGCCCATTTTGTGGACGCGGTTGTCTGCTGCTAGTGTCCGTTGCAGCCGTTACGCAGTCAAGAAAAAAAAAAGACTGAAAACCATGGTTCAAATTCAAGCACTTCATGGGGCAGTCGTACGCTCTAAAACAGAGCCATGTTGATGCTTGAAACTTCTTTGCAGAAAGACGCTACACGGGCACCATGTGGAGAGAGAAATTGTGTTGACAAATCCAAAATAAGGCGTGGTGGAGGAGTTAAATAACTCCAGGAGGGACAAAACAATAAATATACGAGAGTGGTTAATCACCTTCTACCGATCGAACAGAGCACAGTAATACTTTTTCCTTATTGACAGCCTTCTACAACATCAACAAGGCCTGCAGTTATGTACGCACTTGCAATGCTTCACAGATAGTGGGTAGAGCACTGCTTCACAAATTAACTTAAGGCGTGGTGAGAACTTCCGTATTTCAGTTATGATGCAACTGAATATCCCTTTATTCAGAAGTCATCTGTGTTTGATCATTCCATAAATATAATCAAATATCAGGTGCACGATATATTGGTGATTTGTTATCGATTGCATCCATTCTGAGTGGGCAAACATGTCTTTGACGTGGCTCATTGAGCACGGCATGAATACGGTCGTGATAGCGTACATGGCAAAGCGGTCCTCTGCACTAACGCACTGTGCCCTAATGTAGACACTTTTGAATGGCACGAGCAACGGAGAAAAACTCTCATTTCTCTGGTAAGAACTTCTAATAGAGCACTTACTTGCCCGACTCGCCCGGTTTGCTGAAAATTGCCATGCGCACTTCTTTTTTCTGTTTTGATGTAAACAACCTGGTGTACGTGCAACCACGGCCTTGTGTGCACTGCACTGATATGACGAACATTCCCGGCTATTAAAAAACGCGAGAATCGAATGGTGTTCCATGTGGTCGGCGTCAACACGGGTGATGCAAAAAATCATCGCTTCATGACATTGCAGATCGCCAGAAATTGCGATATCACTTTCGTACCATCACATGGCATCATTGCCAAGTCAAAGGTGCGCCTATCTTGGAGGCAACGCAAAACAGTGTGAGGGGGCTCAAATCTTAGAAAGACTCCAATCTTGGAGGCATTGCAAAACTACATTAGTCGTAGAAAGCTTTCAAAGGAGGGAACAGGAGATTCTATACTTGGAGAAGACTAGGGATCTTGCCTTCGAGTCTACCGAGGCGGATGCATAAGGGACCTTGCAAGCAAATTTCACAAGCTATAGTCTTTCTTGGGATATTATGCAGAAATTTTGGTCTGTCCGTCAGACGATTCAACCTCCTGGCATAAGTTTAAGCCCTCTCATGCCCAGCCAATCTGGTGGCTGCATTCATACTGGTGAACATTGTTGATCAAAAAGTGAATATTGCACATATACAAGGCACAACATCAATACTTAAGTATTATGTAGTGCATTTCTTTAATAGAAAATGCATAGATAGGTAATTCTAAAGACTATGTAGTGTTTCTCATGGTGCGCTGACAATGCTACGTCATGAGCGAAAAAGGGAGTGTTTCCTACGCTTCACTAAAACGACTTGTTGCTGCCACCTACCCCACCTACTAGCTTCAAGCTCTCATTAAAATTTTTTTCAAATTTACATGTGTATATATACGTGCACACACATGAACGTACGTGAAGGGTGGTTGGCCGCCACCTCGAAGAGATTCCTGGTTACACTTCTGGAAATGGATTATTCTCGTTCAAGTCAACAGTTCTACTGAATGCATATTATATTCGAGCATCAGTAGCATGTAGACACCTTCATATATGCAGGCAGAATTCTGTTTTTTATTGAAGAGCTTCTTCTCTCCCAGGCTAATAATGCAGATACTTTTGTAGTACACAGCTGGTATTGTTGTGGCACCTGGTGAAACAGATCTCAACCAAGCACTTCTATGTGGCCTCTCCGATTAATTATGGCAGCGCGACAAAACGCAGAATTGACCCGAGGAATACGCCACAGAACGCTATATCCAAGGTGAAGCGCTGCCACCCGACACCAAAAGCCTAGGATTCGAGTCACCAAGTTTTGTCCACTCGGGAAGCACGTACAAATGCGCACTAGAAGTGAGCTGAAATAACGCTTTATGTTACGAGCTTCTAAAGCTCATGCATGCAGTTTATTTAAAGGGGATTAAGTTTTTTTTTGTTCTTATCTTTGTTACAATTTTTTTATAGGGGCCCTGCAACACTTTTTGGGCATGGTCAGAGAACGCTGCCGGTCGGTAGTCGAAGCTCTCAAGAAAACTCGAGCCAAATATTTTAGCGTAGCACGCGGCTTGTAACTTTCAATACGTTCTCAAAGTCAGCTGAAAATCGCTTTCTCTTCTCTCGAAAAATGATGCAAACTCAAAAATTACTTGTCACTGTCATTGTAACAGCCATCAGTTGACGTGAACATGGCGCGCTTGGTTGGTACTTGGGCCGCCGCAACTTGTCTGTGCGAGTGCACGATCGCACTGAAAAACCGTGTACTCGAAGAAAAAGAGAAAAAATGCTTAAAGTCACAGGCGTGCGTGACGTATTTTCTTCCTTCGTGCCATCTCTTTCTGCTTAAACTCCAGCGCTTTCGCTGGCGCGAGAGAATGCAATTGCAGCGTGCGACAGATCTTCGTAGCTCCGCTCTGGAGGGATTCTAAATATGTTTGCGGTGGCGAATTCTTGAGGCAATAAGCTCCTTTAGCGATTCCATTTCATGACTACTAGAAAAAATGTTAGCAGGGCTTCCTAAAGTGTTTCCACCGAAGGAGATGTGCACGTATGTGCAGTCATTGTCGAAGATAAAATGAAAACCAGATCAATCTCGTAGCAACATGCTTTATTCGGGCACATTGCATGACATGTAGAGAACAATATGTGCATGAAGTGGGAAAGAGAACAACAGCAACAAGACAATCTCAACATAATGGCAAGCATTTCCTTGGCCAAGCGACACCAGAAGAAATCGCAACCCCGACATCGCCCTCGGCCAGCTCACCACTAAAGCCCAGAAGAAGCTGGTACTCTTTGGAGCTCAAACCCGTAACCAGAGGCACAGAGAAAAATGCATCTATGCACAAAGAACTTTTGCACAAAGAATTTTTGCAGACTTGTCCTCTTAACAAACTAGAATCTATGAGGTGCTGTAACGGAGTATATATATACTATTGCAACAGCTTGAATACATCAACACACATTGCTAGAAGTTTTTCAAAAATAGTGTATGTTCAACATGCACACAGAGCACCACTAGTTACCCGTGGCACGCATATGCAGTGTCGAACAAGAAGGCATTTCCTTTCCATTTTTTTTATGACACCATCATGACAGTGTGGCGGTGCATTCTAATCCTGCCTTGGTTGCAGACACCTTGGCGTTCGCAGTTTCATAACAGGGACGAGCAACATTGCACAATCTCAACGGTCGGACATGTTGGAGAGAGTGTCTGGGGGGTAAATGTTGCTAATATTCAAGCCTTTGACTATAGCCACACAATTATAAATGAGCTCAAGTTTTAGCTGCAAGATACCCATGAAGGACAATGTTGCTTGAAAGAGTTGATATTAGCTCTTATAGTGCACAAAAACATGAACCAAGATGGACTACACGGATGCAGCACTACGTCCGCACTGTTCCAGTTCTTTTTTGCGCGCTATGCAAGTGAACAAGATAGCTTTGCTTTTCCTTGATAGATTTCGAAGAAGGTCCACATGTTCAAGTGGTCATCTTGGACTTCCTCTATCTCGAAAGACTTTCCTCTCGTTCTGTCATTGATGCAAGAACTACAGTCCACAGCGTTGTCCGTAGTCTATAGAAGCCATAGTGTTGTTAACCAATGACTCGGTCCGACAACTTGCATGGTTGAGCAGCAATATATTTAGTGTTCTCTCGAATGTTCCAGGCTGTTCCTTCGATAACACCAGTGGTCATGGCCTCTGCAACCACACACGCTTATCCGTATGCAAGTGGAAACTGCGAGCAGCTCATGGTAACAGTAACATAATGCTTCACAGCAAAATTGGTAACCACTTTTGAACAGAGTTTCATACTGTTGCTCGCAAGCAATTTTTCTTGCTAAAAGAGGCCTTACAATGAATTTCACTCAACATGACAGTCGTGTACCTCTAATTAGGGTAGTAAACAAGACAAAAAAAAAGAAAAGGAAATGTATAAACCAAAAATATGCGTTCTTGTTCACTGCAATTTATTGGGCACGCTTGAGCATCGCAAGCGTTTGGTTGCTTAATTTTGCAAGAATTGAAAATAGTACTTTACATATAATGCAATAAGTGCACGAATCCCACGATCGCAAGACGTCACAAAAAAGCATACACTTGCAATCCGACAGTGCTTGCAAAGCGGAAGCGACTCTGCAGTCACCTGTTGAGCACTTATGATTTGCAAAGCAATACATAAACATAATATCGGCAACACATTCCACAAGAAACCTCCACTTGCCAAATACAATGCTCAAACATACCACAGATATGATGGTGCCTACTGTGTGGAAACGGCATCTACGAACTAGCACTGACAAGACGAAGCACGGTTACAAACTAAACCAAAACTAACAATCTCATTGACTAATTTACGGTGACTACTCTTGGATATATCACATAGCGGTCATCACAACTATGGCAGACTCTCCTACTGGATAAACTCTTCAAAAGCTTGGTTTTGAAATAGCAGATACCTTCAGCATGCTAGGTTCCTTCAACATTTGCCTCAAGGGGGGTCCACTACTGCCACATTTTAGGATTGTGCACATAGACTGTGTGTTTCCCAAAAAAAGTAAAGAAAAAATATTACTCTACACAATATTCAACAACATTCACCAGTTTTGGTTAACAGTTTACGAACAAACAACTCCACACTCTTTGTTAATCAGCCACATTCAAACTCATCCAAACATTATAGGTTGTTGGTGCCTTACAACCACACTACACCACACTAGGAAGAGATCTTCAACTTGCATTTCTTTTTGTTGCTTTGTACATACATATGCAAAAAAAAAAGGAGTTTCGATTCATCTTTGAACAAAAAATAAAAACACGAGGTTCACGGTGAACAAAATGTAGACTGTTCACAAATCCACCTACCCTCCATGCAAAGAAAGGAAGTAAAAAGAAGTGGCTAGCATGTGAGGATTGGCGGTCGGGAGGCTAGGTCTTACTAGCTCTCAACACATCACAATGCCGCCAAAAGCTCTGCTTGACCGAGGCTAATGACTACCAACTCATTCTAACAGGAATACATGAAAAAAACAAAAAAACGAGAGCGAGAGGGTGCCACATATCTAGTCACTATTCAGCTGCAAACAACGAACTGCATGATGCCAAGGACGCCGAAAACCTCCTTGAAAGAAGCCTCCAGAACAAAACATCAACAAGATTTGCACAAAAAAAAAAAAAAAACAGATGCGCTTGTACTGACAAACAAAGGAAAACATTAGCAAGCCCACCACTTCCCTCGTTCACGAGCGATTCACGCTTGCTACAAAAAGGTGCGCGGCAAGGCTGGCAGTCGGCGTATAGACACCTGCTACTGCTTAGAAACGTGGCTCTTCCCAGTCATAAATCACAACACAAAAATCGTGTTTTTCCTTCAAAAGAAAATTGCATTTGCCCTTGATTTGGCGCAACACCATCGAGCTTTTGAAACGGAAGAACGTAGCACCAGCGCCTGTTTGGCAAAATATAGAAAATAGACGATGGCAGAATCGATGAAGAACATTACGCAGCATCCCTTAGGAACTGGCACGCTGAAACGAAATATGAAAGCACCGGCACCAGTGCACATCTGAAAAGAAAAAGAAAAGACAGTAATGACAACAAACCCGAAAATGCGACTTGAGAATCATTTGAACACGGTGGCACCGGAGGTACACCGGGTGAAATTCCTGAACGAGACACGACGTGCTTGTGCCTACTAGTTTGGTCGTGAGAGACTAGCTCTTCAGCAGGCTTCCTGTTGGGCATCTTCGGCCAGCTGGAAGTATTTGTTGGCCAGTCGCCCTTTCATGGCAGCTGTGGCTGCCGCCGCTGCTTCCTGGTACAGCTCCCCTGGACAAAAAAAAAAAAGGAGAAAACACAGTACGCTATGTTGGGCCAGTTGGTGCATCGTTACTTGAAAGGTGTGATGCAAGCTTAAAAACCGAGAACGAGAATCTTTGAGAAGAACGAGAACGAGTCTCTTCTTGTTCTCAATTTTTAAGCTTGTGCCATGCCTTTCAAGTATGGTGGCCTTTATCATTAATCAAAGATTTGCTTTGCTGCATGGATTTAACAACACAAAGATGTAGGAATACCAATAAACTTCACTAATTTATAAAGTATCCAGAATAGCAGTAAACAAGTGCAGACATGCCATACTTTTCTGCACAGGCAACACGTCACTCATTGGTTTACTGCACACAAGACTCACCGTCAAGCTGAACTTCAACAGAAAGAGACTGGTGAGCCAGTCAATACTGAACATTATGAGGGTGAGTGCAAATAAACGATGCAGGACGGCAGAAGCACATTGTCCTTGTGTAATTTTGTTTGCACTACACCTCAAGACGGCTGAACTTCACTCAGCATATTAAAATGATCAGTGTTGCACAAAACACAGTTCCATATAGAGCACATTTTCTATCGTAATCGTAAGCTTTTTACCCTACGAGGACACTCCAAACGGTACCCATCCAATCCCCAGTGCTGACCACTGCCTGTAGTACATGAGCAAACACAGATGACCACGACAACGTTCACAAATCGCAAGGAGTTACAATACTGCCATGCGTGCTCATTTATTTTTGATGTGACCAGGTCTCACTAACAGGAACTGTGACCAGCGCTTGTCTTAGGCCAAGCCGCAACGTTTCGACACTTCGTAGCGCTTTTGAGACACCTTGGTTTCATGTCCCTAAACCACAATACGATTATGAACAATGCCGTAGTGGAGGGCTCCAAAAATTTCGGCCACCTGGGGTTCTTTAATGTTCTTTGATATTGCACACTACACAAGTCCATAGCTTTTTGCCTTCGTTGAAGTGCTACTGCAAGGGCTGGGGTTGAAGTCATGACCTTTTGGTCATGTTTCAAACTATTACTCTGTTACGAGAAGAACACGAGTAATTGAATTTAATCTGGGCCCCCAAATGGTTATAAAAAAGCAGACTCATTTCACAGGCAAGCAGATTACTGACAGCTGACAACTGTGATTGCCACAATCAATATACAGCGTGTATTGTTTGAGCTTTGACTTTTTATTTCCTTGGCACAGGTTCAACCAGTAAAGAGCTTGGTCCTTAACAACACGACTGCTGCCTTCTTCACTGTCATGACCATGCGACAATACGTTCTCGCAGATAAAACAGCACCAAGTGCTCACCGGCTGTCGCTGGGTCCCTCTCCAGGCCGTAGCCTCCCTGCAGGTAGAGCTCGGCCTGCCTCGCCAACAACAGGTACGGGGGGTCGTCCATGCAGCCGTCGTACTCGCCACCTTCGTCGTTGTCTGTCGTGGTCACTGCCATGTTGTACCACAGCACGGCGTCCTGCCAGCTGCGTTGTCTGCACGGCAGTCCGCGAACACATCACTTTACTTACAGGCCTGCATCTCATAGCTGGCCGTGTCTTCAGTTGAACCGGTAAGCTGATGCGCGCTGTCATAAGCTAGGATGTCCTCGAACGACCAAACCGACAGCTAAAATACCCGGGTTGTAATAAACCATCAATGTGTGACACCTCTACTTGTTAGCTGTGGGTAAAAAGGGATAGTGGCTTTAACAAACTAAAGGCTCAAATTATGTAATTATCGCTCTGCCTTTAATAAGGTTTTACTGCACTTACCAGAGCAAATTTTCAGTTACTGCACTTAGACACAATAATAATGATAAATAATAGACAATTAAGCCAAGGCCTTGGCATTATTATCTGTTAGTTATCATTAATATTGTACTTACTTGCAGTAATTTACGAGCACTATATCTGCAATAGTATGAATAGTCGATCGCAGGTCTGGCGTCCGTACCTTTGAGTGCCGAGGCCCTCGCCCGTGTCCAGTGCCTTGGCCAGGGCAATCATGGAACCCCTGTCTCCGGCCCTCGCCGCTTGTTCCAGGTACTCCACACCTTTGGATGTGTTCTCATCAGACTCCTATACAAACCAAAACGAGGCTTAAAGAAGCCTGGAACAACAGAGCACAGGCTCGCTCATAGACCTGTATGCTTATCAAAACAAACCGGTAACCCGCCACGATGGTCTACTGGCTAAGGCACTCGAATGCTGACCCACAGGTCGCGGCATCGAATCCCAGCCGTGGTGGCTGCACTTTCAATGAAGGCGAAAATGCTTGAGGCCCGTGTGCCTATATTAAGGTGTACATTAAAAAACGCTCAGGCAATCGAAATTTCCCGAACCCTCCACTACAGCGTCTCTCATAATCGTATGGTGGATCTGGGACCTTTAATTCCTATAATTATGAGACAGGCTGGTCGATAAAAGGTGTCTCCTGGTTCTCTCCCTTTCTGTTAAGGAATTAACAAATGTCATTAAGTAAGGTTGCATATTAGCTAAATCATGCATTAAGGGACATTACGAAAAAAAGATTAGGAAAGTTATATTCTTTGTTTTGGGACAGTAGAATACTGTACAAAAGCTCAAATTAGTACGCTTTTAACGCTGATACGACACTTCACAAAGAACAACAGCTCTAGACGGCAGAGCAAAAGCGACAACCACCACGTGAGCTAAACACTATGTTGGCATTGCTGAGCACAGTGGATGTGCATTTGTACGCAAGCAGCGCAACATGAGGCACGATGGTCTTGCATGCCAAGAAAAAAACTTGTATTAATATGGAAGTACCAAAGGGATAGAAGCCACTCTGCACAGGAAAGTGTTGCTTCCCTCAGTCTACTGGCTTATTGTTATGAGATGGTGGTCTTATTTCTGACAACCTAATGTGTAAAAATTAGGCTTGTGCAAATATTGAAATCTGCTTCAATTTGAATTTAAATGACTCGGAAATTTTTAAGTAATCAAAATTAACTAATAGGTGTACATTAGTTTCCATGTAACTCGCCTGAGAGGTGCTACACTGTGAATACACTTTTTCAGGAAAAATTTGCACTGCTGTGAAGCCCTACTTAGAGGTGACATGAATGATTACCCTCACACCATTTATTTCTTTTTTAAAAGAGCTTGTTATCCCAACTTACATGCCGCAAGCATAAAAATTTTTAAATGTAACATATGACTTGCATTCTACTGAAAGTCAAATGCAGCCGCTATTAAAAGTTGGTTCCACTTCCTTTCAACCAAAAAGAACATTTGTTCATGCCAGTTAGTTAGGTCATGAGCAACGTTCTCATTTTTTTTACTAATATGCGATATACAGTACTGCAATTTGATTCGAAACGATTCAGACCAAATCATTGTTCGCTTCGAATTTGCTTCAAACCCAGCATTTACAATATGCACTAGTGTAGTGAAAACCTCTTGTTAACGGCTGTGGCAAGATATGCAACAAGCTAATGGCTTCAGGAGGGCATCTTGCAGGGCGAGTTGGTACAATACAGTAACATCACTAAAGGAAATGCAAAAAAAAAATGTGCCCACCTCCCCAAAGGGAATTGTGCATTTGTTGGGCCATGCATAGTAATTTGAGTGGCATAAATTAGTGACAAGACGAGGATTTGAACTGTAAGCATCTATTTACACATTTATCAGCCAGTGAATGGTGACAGAAGGAGCGGCGAAGCACTGCACCTGTCATTGTACCTGACAGCCATAGTGTCAGCATCTTATCGACACAAACGCTTCATACACACTGGCAGCATAAACACTACAAATGCGTTTCAAACACACTGCTTTGAGGTAGTGGCAAGTCGCGTTCAAAGCAAGGTGGTGGGGGCCCCGGTTGCTAGGGGCGAGGATAAGCGCGCGCCCGCAGCTGTTGTTGACAGCTACCAAAGCCGAAGCGTGACATAGTGGGGGCTCCGGTGGCTAGGGATGCATGCGCCCACAGCTGTTGCTATGGGAGAGGGCGCTGGACGGATTCCGACGTATGTCTGACATAGCCAGACTGAGGAATGCATTTGCATTTAAAAACATGGACGCAGAATACTACGTACACAGCGATACCTATCACCCTTGATTTATTGAAGAACACACACTCGCATGCATGCATGAAAAGAAACATGTGATACCAAACAACAAGAAAAAAGCTAATGGCCAGGACTGCAAAAACCATGCTCTTGAGAAAACAATGGGAAAATTTCGCATTCACATGTGCATTGCTAACAAATACTAGAGAAGGCCACAATCGGTCGATTTCATTAGAACCTCCTCAGTTCTTTGCCTGCAAGCTCAAGTATGCCCTTACTGGTAGTGTCCAGTCCTCAAGAAGATCGTGGGGCAGCCCCAGGTGAACCTTGGCCAGCACCAGCAAAGCCTCCAGTACGCCACAACGAGCCGCCTGTTCCAGGTGAAAAACGGCTGCGGCCTGGTCGTATCTGCAAATGGCACACAAGCGTTGAGCTTACCTACGCTGCACGAGTCTGTAACACCTGTGTCAAGCTATACTTCCGAGAAATCGGCGCTTCAGACTGTGGGAAAATGCTTGCGTCCCCTAGGTAATTGTTTATGCTGCATGATGCTCGCACACCCCATTAGACGGCCTCCCCTGGGAATGGGTCAACTTATCAAGAATGAGTATCTTCTCTTGGACATTGGAGTGGGTTTTATTTGCTGCAATATTCTAAACGTCTTCCACTTCTAAAAACCAGTGACCACTTAAGGGCCTCTCACCAGGGGTGAGTGCAACAGATGCATTCAGCTCTCCAACGCTACATGAAGCGAAAAGAGGCAAAGTTTCAAACTGAACATAGTTTGCCCTTCTCGCGTACAAATGCCCCAAGTTAGAGGCGATTACATACAACAAGGACTGACCACATGTAGTGATCTGCGCTCGGATGTCACTCCTCTATGTAGAAGTCGGTGCTCTTGATGTACAGTAGCACATGACACTGCGACAATTATTCGAGGCGAGATGTGTACTTTGTTGCTTGACTGGATGAATGAAAGTTATGAGAAACAATAAAACACCAACGTAATGTGCGTGTTTATATTTCAATTTTTTTCCCTATTTCATATAGCAGCACGATGCGAGATTATTCTGCCTCCGTTTCACATGTGTTCACGTTCTCGCCGTTTTCATATAGTGCAGGCGCCAGCCCGGACGACACTTGGGGCGTTTTTTGGAGCGTCGTCTCTGACGGCCGTCTGACAGTGGCTGTGTGAACTGGTGCAGTGCGGAAAGAATCCACAATTTACGCCAGCGTCTCCAAATATGGACGCACTGAGAAATCCATCTCACAAAAAAAAAAAAGAAAAAGAAAAAAGGCAATACACCATGGTGAACGCGGACACAACACAAACTTGCTTACGGGCTCAGGCTTGTCAAGCAACTGTGACCTTGTGTGCGCATGACGTTTTCGTGTGAACGCATCAAGTGATCCCCTGGCTTCGATACAGAAGAAGGCAGGAATGAAATTTGGTTGGCAAACGATACACGGGCGAGTGGCAAGGGTTTCATGCTCGCTTCCTCGCATTCGGGTTGCACGTCGCTTCAAAATATCAATTATTTCAACTTTTGGTGAACCAGTTTGAAAAGTTCTTGTGGTGCAATGCACTTCATTAGGCATGCAAAAACTTGCATAGTCAAAGTACAACTACTCATGTGACCTGGTGAAGGGCCCTTGAGCACTTCCATCTACTACGAAACCTGCAGCCTTTCAAAGATGGCCGCTTTCAACTGGTCTTTTTTGGGGAGCATGTGAAAAGACTAGCCCCAGAGTTATTTCTGGCTACAGTCCTTATCTTTAGGGGATGTTCTGCTGTGCAGCCCCACCTATTTACTAAAGCTAAGGATGGAGCTAGACGGTGGACCTTCGCAAATGTATTGAGAGATGGATGTGGTGTAAAAGCGATGTCTTTACAATTTAGTTCTTTACGTTTTTTCTTAAGCTCTTCGACTAGTGTGAAACCAAGTGAAAGGCCGGATTGCTCTCAGTACTACACCAACGCATCAGTAGCCCTCCAGGCCAACCGTTTTTCGGAGGGCATTTTCGCCACTCACTTGCCCTCCGGGTGAGTGGTGTCGCCAAAGCGGCCGTTCTCGTGGCACTTGGCCATCTCTAGGTGGATCTGCCCAAGCACCGAACGTTGCGATTCGTTTCTGGGCCGTCCCTGCTGCTGGCGAACCAGCTGCCGCAGCTTCACCTCATCCAGCACCGAAGAAGGACGGGCGTTCTGCGCCACCAGACGCTGGAACTCCGCCCGCTCGTGCTCCTGCACGACAGCATCCGCAGATGAAGGCGTGAAGCGCATGTGCCTCGCAAACAACGTTCACAGTCACCATGTATTCATTTCACCCTCAAGGGCTGGGTTGAGTGCGAATACAGGATGCAAAACTAACAAATACAAAGAGTGAGCGAAACAACTTTATTTTGGCCACAATAGGTGCGAATTATCTCGACGTCACCTGACTATAGCAAAAATTGTGTATAGATATACGGACACAATTTTCAATGCTGTGTGGGTGAATATGGAATGCAAAAATAAGAAATAGAAAGCAAGAAAAATTATTTTGAAGGTACAAACATCTGAAAATTAAGACAAAACTGAAAATTAAGAATTATGCAAACAAAGCAAAAACAAAATGAAGGACAAATAAAGTCATGGTTTCTCATAGAAACAACTTTGGAAGAGGGTGGTGTGTGGCAGTGTATGGACAGGTGTGTCAACGCAATGTTCAACTCTGTCCTGCTTTATGTTCTTAAAACTTGAAGGGAAGCTTGCTGGGCGAGCAGATGAACAATGATGGTAGGAAGAGCGCGAACGTAAAGCTTGGGTCAAAGAAGGGCCACATACGGAGCTCATGTCGTCGCATGCGACCCTTCTACGTCCCGCGCTTTACGTTCGCGCTGTTCCTACCATCTTAGAACTAGCTCAAATCATGAACTTGCATAAATCTGAACATGCACAAATCCAGGAGGAAGTCGCAATGATAGAAGCAGCACGACCTTAGGCCGCAGAAATACTGAGGCAAAAGGAGAATCTGAACATCGATCTAAATGGCCAAACACTAACCCAAATACTGGCCATATACACAACCTTATTTACACTTATGGTGATAATCACGTGAGCAAGAAGAGCATTTGACCGTGAAGATCCAGATAAGGCCGGACTTACATCTCCGATGGTGCTACTCTCGGAGTCGTAGCGCTGACGCCGCCGCAGGCGAGCGGGCACGGCGCTTGCCGGGTCGCCGTTCAAATGCTGGTGGCCGTTGGTGATCTGATGCTGCAGGGTCTCCGTGTCCTCGGAGTCGCTGCCAAGCTCCAGGTCGTGCGAGTAGTCTTCCAGGGTGTCCTCGCTGCCGCTGCTAAGGCTGCGGAAGCCACTGTCCTGTTGCTGCAGCTGAAACGGCATTGGACAGTGGCATCAGCTGTCATCACAACCACGATCCCTCAAACTTGGACCCCAAATAAATGCAAAGAGAAACAAATCTGGCCCATTCCATGCCGTGAAAGCTGTCAAACAAAGCTGCAGACTCTTTCATCCGGGTCCTCCCTTCACTAGTCTTGCCCAGTTACTTCCAATTAATTCAATTTATTGTTTCTTTACTTAAGCTAAGTCAGGTCTCTACGTATGCTTAAATGACCTACCCTCAATGCACTCTTTGAACCATAAAGTTTCCTATAAATGCACTAGACAGAACTCTGGCACTACTGTCAATCGACGCTGCAACGCACAGCATTTCAGCAAGCATATAAATGATGGGTAGCACACAGATTTGTCTAATCTCTGTGCTTATTGCTCCGTTTGGCTTCACTGGGCGTGGAGCTGCTTTGTCACAAAACAACAATCAGCAAGTTTTCTGCAGTTGCACTTCTGTCATGGACTCTAGATGTTAAGCACGGCACAAGAACGAAAGGGGCACGGAATATCTATATGAGAATAACAAGAATTTTATAATAAAAAAAAAAACTAAATAGTGGAATACATGAAAACTGAGCTATAATAGTCCCTTACACACTACATACACAACTTAGGAAGATATTTACAGTACAGATGCAAGGCCTGACGTGATTCCCCTTTCTCTCTCCTTTGAGACCCTTCTCTTCTGCTATGACTTTTGTAGAGAGACCGTGCTTGAAATGCTGAAAACACAAGGTCCACATAAATAGTTTTGCCATAATAACTAGTGCTAATTATTGTCTTAGAAACAATGGAAGCCTATTCGTAACTTTTATGAACAAGCTGACGATCCTAAGACCAGAAAGCGACGTGTAAATCATTGCTCTAAAGTTGTTTGCGCTGTACGTATGGTTAATCCCTTTTGGGCATGCTACTACTCTGGTGAGCTGTCATGCGACGGCACCAGTCCCACACTACCAGCTCACTGTTTTGGGCCAGTGTTGGTAAAAGCCGTCGTCCGTAGGTGCCAACGTTTACAGCACGAAAGTGACAGAATACCATGAAAGATAAACCAAGAATGTCACACCTCTTTGGTGTGGTTACAAACAAGCCTGTCTTGCGCAAGAACGTTTCAGAGTTCAGTACAGCGAGATGCAGAAAATTTGAGGAAAGGCCAAGAATACCAGAATTGGTTACTCTACTCAGCGGTAAAAGAACTAAACGGTAACGACGAGCAGCAAGATACAAGTGCTCATGCACAAACCTACACCAAAAGGCCAGTTCACTGCTGTGAATTGAAGCTCACACCCCTAAGACAAATTCACATGTCAAAGAAGACACACAGATGTGGGAATTGAGGCTGGCCCGCTGCCTTTGCGCGGGCTTTGCTGCCTTTTCTGCCATTCTCATGTCCCGACATGTCTGCCCTCCTTTGCTGTCAGCCGTGGTGGGAGAGCGGAGTGAAGTTTAACTCCCTCACCCGGAAGCGGATGTTGACTGCGGCGCCGCACGCAGGGACTCCCGAGAGGTTTTCGCGCGCTGCTTCGGGAGCGGGCGGACAGTACTCTCCGGGACAGCAAACGGTGAGCCACGCAATTTTTTTCCGTCCGTCGACTCCCGTCGTTCGGGGCTTGTCGGACTTCGCTGACGGCGCCTCGCACCCGAGGTGACCGCTCACCTTTTGTTGCCCCACTGCGTACTCACGGCCGAAGGGCGGTACGGTGTCCTAGTGCGTGGCCTAGCTACGCCGACCCGTCTCCCTCCGAGGCCAACGCGAGTGCCTTTGCCCTCGCTCGAGCAGCCGGGCCCTTTGTCCCGGTGTCTCCGTGGATCACCTTTACCGCGGAGACGTGCTCGTGGCACCCTGTGTAGTACTTTGTGCTCGTGGCGTGGATAAGCCTATTTGCTTTCCCGCCGCGCCTTTTTTGCAACGGGCTGTACTGCGTTTGGTGTTGCCACAATTAAGTGTTGCGACTTTGAGCAGTATCGTGTTCTCGCCACGGCGACGGTTAACGCGTGCCCTGCGGCTCGCTAAGACCGGACCCACGCTGGTGGCCGTACTCCTTCGGTATACGTGTACACCACACAGGTTAGAAGGCCTCTTGAGACAAGATGCAATAAGACCGTTCAGAGTGCACACTTACCACTGAGATGGAATCATAGTCCCGGTGGCCCACCTCGTGCGACAAATCGCAAGGGCTGCTGTAGGTGCGGACTCGCTGCCTTGGGGGACCAAGGGCCTCGGCCAGATGCTGCCGCTCGTACTCTGACATGCCCACGCACAGCTCCTCATGTCCGCGCAGCCGTGTCTTGGCCCCTTGGGCTGCGTGTGAATGAACACGCGGGTTAGCGTCACAACCGTGACGTTGCCAAATGCGCAGGATTTGGACAATGCACTTATAATGAGCCACTTACATCAAATGCGGTCAAGTGTTAAGTGCGAGACATCAATATTAAAATAATTTTTTTATTAGTTGAACGGAACAAAATTTCACACACTCATCCAGTTTCTTCGGAAAACTCCGAATCTTAGATTTTTTTTTAATAGCTGCATCAACACAAAAGGTCTGAAATTTATGAAATCTGTAGTTTGCATATTTCTCCCGCATTTTTCAGCATCTTCACTTAAACAATTGCAAAAACAAAGTATGCGGAGTGATTGCTAAAAAGCTGGGCAAGTGGGAATGCTAACATCGATTGTTTTTAAGGTACATTGAATGCAAAATAAAGCGATACAAACATCAGTGAAAAAATTTGAGCCACATATACTATTCATGATTACCAGTAATCATAATTTCCTGAACAATATTATAAAAAAATAAATAGCATCACTGGCTATAGAAAATCTGTGGCGATTCCACCACATACTTTGTTTTGTGTTCGACGAAGCGAAGTTGCCGAAAAAGCCCTATAAGAACTATGCTAAATTCATTTCAGAAATGGCACATATTTTGTTCTAATGCAGCAATCAGAAATCTACTTTGTCACTTGGAATCTGCAGAAAGAACTGTGGGAGACTTAATCTCTGCCTTTAAGAGCGGAATGCGATAGCGATATCAGCATTCACACGCATGCACACACCCACACACACACAACTGTCTCCCCGATTGCCAGCCTGCCTTCGATTTTCGCTTCTCAGTGGAGAATTTTACTGTGCCACAAGAAAAGAGAAGGTGTTAACACCCTCCATCTCTTATCTTTATTGCATGTACCTCTAATTTTCACTCGGAACCAGTGACGTCATTACCAGCACTAGAAATTTAGTGAAATGAGTGTTAAAGCGATACCGCTAATAAGCATATTAGATCTCATTCAGTCAACCAAACCATTAAAAACATTTTTTTAATACCCACATCTTCCCATTAAAGTAACACTTGTGTAGAGTGCATGCAAGTACTTTCCAGTAGGGACCATCGTATCGTTGGGCCCATAAAACTTTCTAACCTCACTTATATTCAATGTCGCACCGAATTGTGCAGCTGGCGGTTGATGGCAAAAGCAATCGGCCATTAAATGCACTTGCCAATGGCAGAGGCCGGCGCGCCGACCAGGGTTTCGCTGGGCGCAAGGTCAAAAGGGGTGAGACCGAGGCCCGTGCACACGCAGTTGCAGGTGTGAGACCTGAAGAAGAGCGCCATGCCGCGCACGCCCAGGTTGCCGTCGCCGTACTCGGAGCCGTGCGCCGTGTGAATCTGTGGGTCGGTGTAGAGGTCGCCCACTCCCTGGATGTCCACGACGAGCAGCTCGTGACCTGAACGCTCGAATGTGAAGTGGCTGAATGCCTGCGACAACAGGAAGAAGATTAATCATCTTTATTTTCACTCAAAAGATGTAAAAGAAAAATGAGAAGCTCGGCCCCATTTTTTCTACCGCGAAAATGGGGCCAAGCGTAGCATCTAATGCATCTTTGCATCATAATGCATCTAATGCAGCGTGCATCTAATGCAGCGTGCATCTAATGCTTTTCTTTTTGATTCTTTCACATTACACAATGCTACTCTCAGGCCGTGTCGGCATGGCTTCTTTTATGTTCACTCCAGCATTCCTCAGTCTCAACAACGGCCCAACGGAAGGACTTTCATGCAATCACGGAAACACAGGTTCGGAAGCAAATTCTCTGAAAGTCGGAATTTTCCTGAAATTCACAATCCCCGATATACCAGCTTTCAAACTTTTCCAGCAGATCGCTTTTAGTCCACCAAAGCAAAATATTTCAATGAAGCATGAATAGCAAGAGTACTGCCTCCCAATTTTTTTTTTTTTAAATTGTTGGTAGAACGTATTCGTATGCTTCAGTTAAGTTCAAAATGGGCAAGTATGGGCGTGTAGACTGGTGGCCAAAGAACTTGCTTTCACACTGGAGGGACTAGAACTCAGACGCCAGTCCTCTAAACAAAATTTTTTGAGTTTGATCTATTGTTTACTTAATGCACCAGCTGTGGGGGAGGAGAAGTTTTTGGAGTGCTGATTTCACAGGCCGGTCAATTTCTAAGGGAACATCTGAATCCACGGCCAATGTGCCTAGATATGGGCTCATTAAGAAGATCACATGTTGTGGTCAGAATTAATTAGCCAGCACATTGTTAATCTAAATAAATTGCAAATTACACTCTCATTTTAGAGCACATACATGTCGGAAAAAGACATGTTTGCACGCTTGGTAGCATTTTAAATATACAATATTATTAAGGTGACTGGTAGTACCTCAATAGAAAGATTTTCTCAAACGATTACACAGTGTTTTGCAGATATTTTACCAGGGCAGAGATATCGTTCAAAATTTTTGTGCCAACAAAGGACATTTGTTGTTCTATGGCCATAAGCATTGTGGACTACAGGCAGAACACACATTGGACAAAGCAGCGAAGAAAAGTTTTGAAGCGCCCATCTGTGGTAATTGCACAATACTGGTGTCGCACGATCATTCCAACCATGGATGGGATTAATTCAGACAAAATTTATTGCTCATGATTGGCTCCTTTACGCAAGCTGAGCAAAGGAGCCAACCACTTGTGAATCTTGATAACAGTCAGGTTCAATCATGGCTTGCAATGCACCATGTGATGCCGTTGTAAGTTATGCGAAAAATAAAGCATGTGCTTTATACAGATTGCATAGCACACGCGCTTTATTTAGCTCCCATAACAATCCATCAAAAGAAGCATGAAATGACATTATTTCTTATTTATTGAAACTGCAATATTTAAAGGGACACTAAAGTCAAATAACAATTTATGTCAGAGTGAAAGCTCAATATACGACAACATCTAAAATGACAATATTATCAACAGTCTCTACCTACCGAAAATTAAGGCAAATGAACAAGAACACAAGCCTACAATTAATCACTAGTAATTGATCTAACTGCACTAAATAAAGAGCATTCCATGCATCAAGAGACGCAATAAAATGCTACTTGTTTGTTTCTGTTTGATTCATAGAAAAAAAGAACCACCGGACATTACTATGGGTATTGGCACGAGTGGTTCAAAAATTCAATTTTTGCGTAGTTACATTGGACAGGTAGTGCCATCTAGCGGGGTGTAGTTGAACCAAAAAGCTTCTGCAATCTCGGAGCCAATGGCAAGAAATCGGTTGTTGCTCCTGTGGCTCGAGCTGCTTTCAGTTTGCTGCTACTAGCGCAGTAAAGCCGGACAACATTGTGTACGGCAACAGAGACACAAGTCGATCCGCTTCTTGAGGCGGGTAATTTGAGGTGCACTAATACAATACGGACCACTAAAATGCATTTTAATTTCAAAATAGGCCCTTCCTTGCCACAGAAGTAACACTACAAGGTTTCTGGACCGCTATTTCAACAATCGACGCCGACTTAATAGTTGCCTTTAGTGTCTTTTTAATCTACAGATCGTAGCAGGGTGAATTATAGAAAATAGGAAGCCATAATAAAAGAAATACCAGTCACATCACCCCTGGGAAAGAACTGAAGATTCAAGTAAAGTGCTTTTCAAATACAGTGGATGCCGTGTTAAGGAATCATTACTAGGGTTGTTTTACAAAGTATATTAGTTTTAGAAAAATTAAAACTTAGAACTATTAAATTGAATGCAATAATCACTTGAAAAGCTTGAAGCCTTCATAAAATTCTTAATTTTAATGAAACTTGCTGGGATTGCGTTTACTTGTGTGCTGATTTCAAATATCCAGTTACGTTTCTAGTGCATGATATGTTCACCATTTCATGCGCTTCTTGGTTGAAAAATTTCATGTTTTTTTCGCAACTGTGAGAGTCTCGAGGTAAATCAGCGTATAAAATTAATACAGAACGAGAAAAGTTATTATATAGCCCCGCTGTGGTGGTCTAGTGGCTAAGGTACTCAACTGTTGACTCGCAGGTTGCGGGATCGAATCCCAGCTGCGGCAGCTCCATTTTCGATGAAGGCAAAGATGCTGTAGGCCCGTGTGCTCTTATTTAGGTGCACATTAAAAACCCCAGGTGGTCCAAATTTCCGGAGCCCTCCACTACAGCGTCTCTCGTATTCATATGATGGTTTTTTGGACGTCAAATCCCACATATCCATCAAAATTTCTTTTAAGTTCAATGCTCACGATTGAAATTCCAGATCGATATCAACTCAGTCATTATCCAAACTTTTGTTGAAACAAGTTTACAGCATGCACTTTTCTTTTTTCACACAGTGCTCAATTTAGATTATTCTGAAACGCTAATTTACTTTGCAACTTTCGCATTTCAGGAAAAATATTTCTCCCAAAAAGCACATAAAACATTTGATATTCTAAAAATTGCAGAACGTACTAGAACAAATCGCAGATTTGAAATTGGCATGCAAATATTCAAACGCATGGCAAGTTTTAGCCATATTGATCAAAAATATTAAAACAAAAATTTATTAATACCACAGGTATTACATAAAAAAGCTGCAGAGCAGATGGAGGTGATGCGCTATTCTGCATGGCCAACTACTATGCACAAAGCCTTTTCTGAAAATTCACTGCAAGTACTGTAGCCTTAAAAATATCAAGACTAAAGCATGCCTAGATAGATTATGCATGCAATGCATCCAGAAACGTGGATTCAAACTCACGTGTGGGGTGAGCCTTGTGGCCTGGGAGCTGATAAAGCCAGAATTGGAGTTGTACTTGATGTAACTGCCTTCAATAAAGTGCTCCATGTGGTACAGCGGACTGCCTGGCCGCTCCACAAATTCGATGATCGACACCTGGAATATGTCCACCTGCAAGCCGCGGCAATGACAAAATTTGGTATCGAGAAACTCAACAAATTCAATGGCGATACACACAGGAAATGCTGTTTCCTATCATATACTGTCATCGTGTGGGAAGTGCTACGTCAGGCAGACGGGCCGTTGCATGAATAATAAACCATTCAATCATAACGCTTCATTGGGTGGAACACCTTGTCAAAACCTGTCATTACACAGTATAGAGTACAGCTGTGCCCTCTTGCTGTCAGGTGCTAGAATGCTTTCAAGATTGAAAGGGAAAGTTGCGTGAAAGAGTGGCAGCATATCTGCGTGCCTTGCAGAAAAAGTCGTCGAAAGACGCTATCTTCTGCTGGCTGAGCAGATATTTATGTTTTGCCTTGCCAAGCTGAGACAGCACCTCCTCTATGTTGCATTGGCCACGTCCAGCTGGCAGTGACAAAGAAGAGAAGGTGCAAGGTGAGATACAGATGCCATCTGGCTGTGCTATCGGGAAACAAGAGCTTGTGCCATTGCCAGGTGGCAGCACGGTATAGTCGGCAGAAACTTTTTCGTAGCATTCTCGGCACAGTGTGAGAAATACTCACTTTATCGTGCATAGCGTTGCATTTACAGTGCAGAACTTAAAGTCTTTAGAATTGCAGACCAATGTATTTTCTAGTAAAGGAACACACCACCTAATACTTATGTGTTAATGTTGTGCCTCAGATATGCGTAATATTCGCTTTTCGATCAACAATGTTCACAAGTATGAACGCAGCCAACGAATAAAGATGGCTCACTATTCAGGGAAGGCTCAAACTTTGGCCAGGTGGCTTAATTGTGTGACAGAATGACAAACAGATATAAGACTAAAATTTGTGCAATTAGGTATCCTAATGGACGTCTTTAAAAATTGATGTTTATTACCAGATTGCAGCAAGGCAATCTATCATGCTGCTTTCTACTAAATAGATTTCTCGTGCTCCAGCTACTAAATAAATCTTATTCGCTTTCGTTTAGAGAGTGATATGTGACTATTTGCCCTACTATATATGCATATGTTTTTAATAAACTCTGTTAATAATTTGCATTGTGTTTGCATGGATGTTTCTTGTCCCCGTGTTTCACATTAAATTCTGCTACGATGCTGAACCAACTTGCCCAACAAGCCATGATTCTGTAGATTTATTAGTGTAATAAGTCTGTTAGCATGCATCATAGTGCAAAAACAAATGTTGAATTTACAACACGGATCTTCACAATTAATACTCATGCTTGCAAAATTCCCGTATTTGACTGCTACAGCGAAGAAACTGAAGAAGCTAGGTCCAAGAAAGCGGTGCTGGCTACGGCTCACCTTCTTTGGTGGATTATGTCGGTTGAACTCCTCGGCCCAGAGCTTGGCATCCATCTGCAGCCGGACATCGTCAAAGTAGGTGCTGCGGTCCACGGGTTCCAAATACCGCTTGGCCACGTAGTTGGATGCATGCGCCCAGTTCTGGGCTGGCGCAAAGCTGGACAACTTCTTCCTGAAGGCGCAACCATTGCAAGTGTCTGAGTATTCAGCCCATCGGTCGGAACGACCACTCATAAATGGGAAGCAAGCATGCGAGCACTATTCTCATGAACAAAAACGAGAGATCAGGTATGTTAAAACCACAATACCCCGAGAGTGTGAATGGCCTACATCTGATATCATACCGATGTGCTAAAGGTGGTCAGAACGCTGGCCTAAGTGTAAGAGCCTGAACTACACTTGTACAACACAAACAGGTATGTATGCAAATCAATTAGGCCTAATTTACACATACATCATTCCACAGGCACAGCACAGTACAATACACTATAATTATAGAAAACTAAAGTTACTGTTCTGCCGTTTACCATTGTTAACATACATCGTAAAGGCCCGGAGACAAATTGCTTCATGTATTCTTCAACATCCAAATGTTTGTGTATATCAGCCACTTATCGATTAAAAGTGAGAGCAGTTATATATGTTGATCTCATCAGTGGTTACATGTTCCCTGTAACCGTGTGTCACACTGTGCAGTGTTAAGGGCTATTAGTGAATGGTTTATTGCTGTGACACCACTCTCCACGTGCAGTTACGCAAGCACCACAAAACCAACCGTACTTACATTCGAAAGCACTCTCGCATGGCTCCTCTTCCAAAGGGCTGAAAGTGTACGTCAAACGCCAAACACCAACAGTTAGCAGCATGCCTCCTTATATCATTCAGTAAGCTGTGTTCACAGCAACGCGTTTGTCCAGCCCCAAAGAATTAATGAAGAAGAGTGAGTGGGAAAATGATGAATAAAGAAGGGGTTAAGGAATTCACAAACTAGGACCAATTGCTTCATTTGGTCTGGCGTGGCTTGGAGCTGATTTGTCACGAAACAACAATCGGCAAATGTTCAGCAGTTGAGCTTCACTACCTCGACTTTTTAGGCTCACCAACTCAAATTTGGTCACAAGGTTCAAAATGATTTATTCTTTTATTCGAAACAAAACTGAAACACAGCAATAAACAAAACCCCAAGTACATTTGAAGCCCGCAAGCACGAAGACTAGGCAAATCCATGTACTACCCATCATTCCCATGGTCGCTGAAGGACCGCAGCGCCAGAGTTGCCGTCAATTTTAGAAAACTCTATGCTATTTACTACATACAATGCTGACCTAGACACTTCATCATGACACATACAATGCCATTTTCAATCACCTATCCATGAACACATGTACTATTACACTGTGTTCATGTTAACATTTTCTTGAACTCTTTAACCCAAGTTCACTCACATCGGGAGCCATCTTGACCAGGGCCTCATCCTCGAGCCAGGCCTTGTTGAGGGCATTGTAGCGGTAGCGGCGCACACGTTCCGCCTTGAATCGCTCCAGGTGAAACATGGCCCAGGGGTCTTCCATGTGCAGCGCTTGACGGGCCGCACGCTTCCACTTCAGAACGGCCAGTTGAGACGGGCTCAGGGGCCGCGGAACCTCTGCGCAATTGTGCATGACGCATCTCCCAATGGTTATGTCACACACCAAGATGTAAACAAACGAAACCAACAATCAGGCCATTGAAAGCATTCGGGGCATTATAATTCTTGCCTTTAACTGAGCTTAGTATTTATGACTATAATTGAGACCGGACGAAACAAAATCACTCTTTCTGTCGGCGGGACCAAAACCACAACCTTCGAATTAACAACCTTCGAATTAACGAATCTGGCGCTGTACCAATAGATCCACCATGGAGTGAGCTTCCCTGTCCACTCTGTGGGGTATTTCAGGGCATGTGACCCCTGAGAGTATTCCACACTAGCCGCCGATGCTATCAGTAGTGCTTGCTAACACTCCCAGTGATTGCAAATACAAAAATACTCCGTGAAGTAGACAAGCAAGAGCCCTCTGTCGTAGCTCAATTGGTAGAGCATTGTACACGCAATTCAAAAGTTGTGGGTTTGGACCCCATCAAAGTGCGATTTTTTACTAGTTGATTTTGTTTTAATTTACATTAACTTTCAATTCAACACACAATCGTTAAAATGGTAATTATTGACATCTAGAATTTTCCTGGCCTATTTGCCTGTTGGATCTATTTTGTTGTGTCTAACAAAGAAAAGAGCTCCTTTAAAAAAAAAAATGCGGTTCTCCCATTCACAGACACGTAAGAGCACACTGCTGTGATCATTAGTGATAACTCAACTTGGCATACAAATAAATCAAAGTTGCAATGGTAGCGCAGCGAATGTCCAAGAGATGAGTGTCAGGAATAACGCATATATGAATGAGAGAGAAGAGAAAGATTGAATCCGGGAAGGATGTGTGCATGTGTGTGTGAACAGCTGACAAGTAATTGAGAAAGCGCGGAGAAATTGAAGGCACAGATTCCGGTAAGAACACTGACGTTTCGCTTTGTCCAGAAGGACTTTGCCGCCCCCAAGCTCACCCCAATAGCACCGCCTGTTTATGTCCCTGTCCGCTCTCGGTCTTTCCGTGCTTTGGTGAAAGCCAACGCCTTCAATCTCACTGAGCCACTGGAAACCTTGAGGGCAATTACCTTGTCCTTGCAGGATGCCTACCCACTGTCGCAGTTAAGCATAGCACACTTCCGCTGCATCGAGCAGAACCACTGGTCCAAATGTTGAAAGCACTCTTTTGTCACGGCAAGAAAAGCCGCCAAAAAAGCGCTCAAGCCAACGCCACTGGTGAAAGATCGCGAACGGAATCGTGCCCGCTTGTTGGGAACTTTCCCTCTAAAGGCCACCTATGCATGCTCATGCACAACATGCGAGCGAAGAGTGCTTGCATGTGCAGGCGTCAAACATCGTCTGCTTACGGACGATTTAGCAGCTTGTTTCAAGCACTGCACGACCTCTAATTTCTGCAGTATCAATTAGTAACCGCAACCAAAGTATCTGTCACGTCTACCAATTCATGTTACAGACATAAATGTGAAAATTTTTACAATGTATGAGGAGCTATCACAATTTTTATGCGTTACCTTCATAGAAGCACATGTAAAAGATGACATCATGCCGAAAGCATCATCTGGCGAGCTTCGGCGTAAACCGCATTCCTCCGTGACACTATCGCGTTGCCCTCGCCATCTGCCGTGGCCTGGGAGTTTCTCCTCCTCAAATATTCTTGCTCCACGCTTTTAAACATTAACAGACAAATCCAAAGCTCAGAGTAATTGTCACATAAAATTGGACAAAGCAAGAAATATCAGTCTACAAAGTTACACGAGAGCAGCGACAGACGAAACAACTGAAGCAGCTACTTTACTGCTGACAACAAGAACAGAAATAAATGTGAATATGTTGAAGATTCACGCATTCATCACTGAATCTCGATTGGAATGCAGAATGCACAAAGGCCACAAAAGGCCATGCAGCCATAAAACGCAAATGACCGCACGTGCATTAAAACTGGCAGTTCATTGAAAGCCACACTGCATTCAAAAACTAACTGACAATTGCATTCACTATATACACATTCATGAAACAACCAGATGAAGAGCCAAAAATAAATGTAACAGTCAAAATTGCACTGTGGCTTGTTTCATGTAAATTTTTGTCTCTCTCGATCGTTGCTTGTGTTGCTCCCCTTTTCCTCGTCTCCTATATAACACTATTTTGCCATATTATTTTGTTGATCAAAAACAATGTATCCGGCAACTCCTGAAAAATACCTTGCAATGCAAGAAAGCAGTATATACACATATAAACAAATAAAGATTAATAAAAAATAATATGTGGAGTCCTACGTGCCAAACCCATGACATGATTATGGGTCAAGATGGAGCAATGGGGACTTTAAATTAATTCTGACGGCCTTGGATTCCTTAATGTGCACCTACATTGAAGTATTATCGGCACTAAATTAAGCACAAACAATAGCAAGCATCAGCAAATGCATAGTGCAGAGTCCAGTTGTAACACAAACATGTGCAGTTCTAGCAAACTGAGGTGCTGTGTGCCAGCGGTGATGACTGGACGATGTGCACCATATCCTTTTGAATGCTTGCATTATTTGCATTTAATTTGACACCAACAGTGCATGGCTGTTGTTGCATGATGTCCCCTGTCAAAAAAGCAGCTCTTGCCGAGGCCGGGAATCGAGACTGCATCCTCAAGTTGAGCAAAATAAATGAAGATAAGCGGTAGCTGTGAAAGCAAAATAAAATCACAGTCAACAGATATACAGTACAGATTAAAATGCAAAAATTTAGTGCTAATTAAAGCACACACTTTTACACAAGTTTTGACGACGCATTACCGTTTGTGAGCAATGTCTAACAGACCAAACAGCAGAGAAAGACGCAATTTCACCGACTCACCTTCAAGCTTCTTGCGAGGGCTTCGGACGGGGTCACTGACCACCTTCTTGCGCTTGAGACCCATGGCCACCGAGAAGATAGCCGAGGGCGCGCCCGGTCCATTGGCCTCACCATGCCCGTTGTCATCACAGTCGCGCGGAGCGTTGGGGTTGCTCCGGATGTCGTCGATGCCTAGCGGGTGCAGTTCCAGATCCGCGTGCTCTTCCGCTGTCGCCATCATCTCTGCTTCCGCTCCTCCCGAGCTCGCTAGTAGTGTCGGCACTTCGCTCCTCCGGCACGACGCCTGCTCAGATCTCAACTACGACAGTGGCGCTGCAGCGGACATGTGAAGCCTTGTCTGCCGCGCTAGACCAGAGGAGGGGCGGGCACACCAGTGGTTCTGCGAGAACAAATCGAAAGACTTTGCTTGCTCATCAAATCGATTGTGATGCTACCGAGAAATGTGGATATCGTGATCATCGGCACGAACATCACGATACAGACATAGCTTCAGTGTGATTTCCTGCAAAGCTAAAAAGTACGTTGCCACTTCTTAAAAAAATCTGTTGTGGCCCAGAATTGATTGTTTTGTGTGTGCCTTCGGAAGAAGAGCTCAAAAGGTGCCTCTATGTACGGTGGACATGGCTGCGCACATAACATGTGGCTCAAGTCCACCCTGTAATTACAAACTTTATGCTAGTCCAAATAAAGCTCTAGTGCTCAGTGGTGCATCGCTACGAACTAGGACTAGAGAACATATGTTGTTGTGGCTAATAGTGCAAAACAACAGACATAAACTTCAAGCCTACATCTCGCCTATGCCTGTGGTTTCGTGCAATTAGTTTTCCATTTTACTCAGGTAACATATGAGTTTGAAGTAGGTGCCATGCCACCAATTGTCTTTTCTTCAATAACGAATGTGCTCGAGCATAAATTTTCCTGCTTGGTGCTGCACGATTTCTTTCCTACAGCATTATTTCTGCATGAATTCTCTTTAACTGGGAGAAAATTTTTTTCATGCATTTGGAACACATTTGGGAAATTTCAATGATAAAGATTATTTTAAAGAAAAAGCCATTTGAAATGGTAGCAACGTACCTTAAGATGATGACTGTTATAAAATGTTTATGCATATGGCCTTTTTACCTTTAATTTGCATTTTATGTAACTCTCAATTATGTCCCAGTTGGTGGAGATGAGAGGTGTGGATTGTAGTACCGTTTGCAGAATAATGATTCGCCACAACAACCTCACATAAGATCTTACAGTGGCTTATCACAAGGCACGACTTGGAATAAGTAAAGGACATAAGCCACGAAATAACCATCGATTCAGTTGGTCTAAAACAGACTGAATTCATTATCCATCAAAAGTGTATTTATCGTAGTTACAACACTCCTGAATTCAACTACAGCTGCACTAAGTTTACAGGCACGCATTAGGCGCTTTGCCGAAGCAAACGGACACATTTTAAACATTGCAGTGCCTTTCCTTTCAATCCATCATAATGTTACGTCAAAATCAAACAATGATAAAGCATTAGTAAGAAGCACTACAATCAAATCAATCATAAAAAAGTTGCACCTTATACGAAAATAAGTTTGTTATATCCAAAAATTCACTATAAAGGTATATTCCTCACACTGCATTTATTGCAAGTGTTTTTCATTTACTTCATTATAACCAGTATTCCGTTATATCCAGGTTCATTATATTGAGGTTTGAGTGCATATTCTGAGTAGAAACCTACTGCTTCCAAGCAAGGTGCAAGGTGCTTGGTGTTGACAGGCACACTCCCACACCGCTTGCTCATGAAACTAGAAAAAATTGACACAGTGGGGCTCTAACTATAAGCAGGAACAATGACATGACACGAACTCACAGCTAGCGGAAACTCATTTTATGTAAGCCTTATCTGGCTGCTACACTCGCACAATTTTAGTTTTTGAAAACGGTGCTTGGCAAGAGCATGAACGCTTTTGATGAGAATTGTTCAATTTCAGGGTCAAGAACAAGTATGAGAGATTCTGAAATCAGTCATGCAAAAAAAAAAGAACGGGGGTGTGTGCTACATATGCATGCTACATGAAGTGCACCGCTTCAACATTAGAGGTAAGTACTTAAAAAAAAAGTATTTTAAAAGATGTTTTGTTTGCTAATGTATTGTCAAACTTACAAATAAACATTGACTTTCGAGACATCAGACCACTCTCCAACCTATACAATTCTTTTTCGTGCTTAGCAGGCTACATGAATCTTGTGTACTTTTGCATTGATCTACTGTACAATCTCATGTTTATGTTTCACAGAATATTGTCTATACCTGCAACATTGGACATCTGTAACGTCGTAGCCTGGCACTTGACAGACATAGATTTTACATATCCCCACTGCACAGTTTGAGTATCCAAGTCTTTTTTAAACTTTGAGCGATTGATGCAGCCGCTTAGCACGTTTTCTTTTTCTATCCAACCCTTCACAGAACGCTTAAAGTCAGTGGCGTGAATACATAAAGACCAGAAGGAGGGACACACATCTTTGTAATGGCGGCCATTCCGTTCTTATACATGCTTCATTTTTAATAATATACAATTCAATTTATACATTCACATGCAATAATAATAATAATAATAATAATAATAATAATAATAATAATAATAATAATAATAACAAACAAGCTTTAGTATCATCATCTGGTCAGAAGGAATAGCACGAAGTATCAGTCTAAAAGTATATAAGCGTCACAAAGTGAAGTCAGTTCCTAATAGCAACTCGTGCGCAGGCGCTAGCACTTTTGCAGCGGCATCATACGGGTTAAGGTGTGCAATAAGAATGGTAGCACTTTTTGCGCTGACGCGTGAAGATGGTACATGTACCGACTAGAAGTACTTATTTTCTGTTCAATTAAAGTGCTTCAGGCTTCAGAGTTGGTTTCACGAAAAGTGCACTGTCCTTGACTGTAAAGAAATTCAAACGGGACATATGGAAGATAAATTTCGAGGGAGGGACACTAGCATGGGGTCCCATACTGAATACAGGGATGGGGGGTCCTGAACTCATTGCCCCCCCCCCCCCCCCCCCCCTGATTTATGCCACTGCCCAAAGTAAGAAGCAAGAAACTTCGCTCCACGAATCTAAAATTATAAATACAGCAAATTTAATATAAAGTTTTATAACAGCCAAATGAAATACGTCTTCACGAAGTACTGACTTCATTTCGTTTCGTGAGGTACAACAGCCGGCTGATTAGTACTGAACTTTCTAGTGTGACTGATAAGGAAGAAAAACTGCACTGTTCTTGTTACTAAAATTATGCACTCATTAACGACTCTCACACATTTCACTTCGTTAGTATATTGCCACGAGTGTTTGTTTCATGTGCTCGGCTTAAAAGCACAAAGGGTGTTAGCAACACTCAGCCCAGATCGCGTCCCAGTGCTCGAGAACCTTTTCGTATGTAGTAGATCATTTTGTTAAGATTGCGCACCACAAGACGCAAGCACTCAAGATTATTCCAGAGCGTCCACAATGTCCAATGATAGACCTGGAAAGTTCGATGCGTGATGATGTACAAAAGATGGTGGGCCCCACTGTCATCAGTGTGTATTGCTGTAATCAGTGCCAGTGTGTATCGCTGTAATATGAGTTTCCGTTTACCAGCCACAAGCTCAACTAAATTAACTGTTTGATTTCGGATATAGTCTACTCCCTTCGCCCACGTGACAATACGAAATGGCTGGCATAAAAAATTATAACATTTACGTCCTTTTTATCAACATCTAAGCCCCTATTGCTTCAATTAGGTGTACTTCTTGTTTTCTGTATTTATAAAGTTGTAGTGACAGTCCTGCTGTACGTAGCCATCAAGTTTACAACGACAATTTTTCAAATACATCAACGTACTAACAAAAGTACGAGGCTTGCTCAGTAAAATATATTTTCGCATAATTTCCTTTTACAATGATCAAGTGCTTGATCTTAAAATGCCACCACTGAACAGTTCCAGATTGTTTTTGAAAGCTCATTGTCTCTTGTTACGTTAACTAGCAATTTTTCAGTTCTGTGAGTGTTGATGTTCTCTTTATATTCTTTTTAATTACGCATACCATTCTCGACTGCCAATCAAATTCCTGTGATAACCAAGTTTGCTCGATCTGATTTTGAGAGGAGGCCCCTACATCACTTCCTACCTTTAGGCCTCCCGCTGAAAACGTATCACCTCTTTATGTGTATTGAACTGCGTTTATGTTAATAAACCCAATCCCAAAGAATAATCTGAGATCTCCACTTCCCTTCCCTTGAAAACGTTTTTTTGTTGTTGTTGTTGTTCTCGGCATGTGCGTGGGTGCATACGAAGGAAGGGCACGCAACGTATCCCGAGTGAAATGACAGCGCCAGGCGAAAGCGCAGAAACAAGCGGCGTACAAGAAACGCGGACCCCGCGGGGCCCCAATGAAGCAGCAGCTAAAGAAAACTCCTCGCATCGGCCGAAGGGCTATTCCAGACGACCCTGTGTCGTGGTGCGACGACCTCAAGCTTGAGACGACGGAAACGCGGAAAGAAAGCAAAGTGTACGTCGCTGATAAGGGATCTCCCCTTATCGGCCGGCCGCCATCAATAAAAACAACGCTGGTGGCCGCCAAAGAGGCCGAGCCAAGCAGCAATGTCCCCACCCCGAAAGTAGGTCAGACAGGGCGTTTGCGACACCCTCGCCTCCCCTCGAGAGTTGGATTAACTTCCTGCTTGGACGAGTTCGGAAAAGGAGAGGCCCTGCTTCCGACCATCTGATGACAGTTTTCACGTTTCGCGGTGCAAAAATGACTCCGGATTAGCGAGAGATTGCTACAGGTGCCAATAAATCGGAAAAAAGTTTGAACGGCTTCGTCCCTCCCTTGTTTTATTGGTGTGCATCGCTGCAATTGTAACCCATTCAGACAGATTACAAGCTAGTTTAAACTGTTATGCCAATCAGCAAAGCGATAAAACAGAGTTAAATTTACAGTGGCTCTAAAGAGCCTCCACTGCTTATCAGTTTTTCTTTTATAGCGCGCGTACGATTTGTGCTTGTGGCATACGAATAATTTATGTTCTGACTAATCTGGCCATGCAGGAATTACGTCACAGTGATATGCAAATCTCTGCCCCTGACTATGTACCACCTGTTCTGTTGGACTACATACCACTGATCTGTTGGAGTCTCACACTGAGCTTTGAGACTCCAACAGATCAGTAGCAAAATAGAAGCTATTATTACATAGCTTGGGATATACTTTTTTAATGTCAATATTTCTTTGGTAATGTCATCAAACTTCATAAAAGGTACAATCATTAAAAAACAATTATTATATTAGCATAAATAATTTTGCACACCTTACACACCAGAGTACATTTATTTAAAGA